CTCTCAAAAATAAAACATTTAAAATTTTTTTTAAAAAGTAGTGTGCCAGCCCCGTCAGCAGCAGTGTCTGCCCCATCCCTTGGGAAATACCCGTTATCTCCTTGAGGGAACTCCCAGTGACACTAGGAGAACCTAGTGAGAACCCTAATGATGTCTGTCCCAGGAATCTGCTCTGGAAATCCCCGAAGAGCCAGCACAGCCAGCCCCACGGTATATGCAGAAGAGGAAAGAATAGCTCCTCCCACAGGAGGACTCTTTCTTGTCACTGGGCCCTTCTCTCAATGCTTGCACAAAGACAGTCCCATTCTTTCCTCCCCGGGGCTCCAACCCAGCAGAGGAGGTTGGATGGAGACTGGTTCCAACATCCTCTCCTTAGTCTTCTGTCCTTATGCCATTCTTTAGCACAAAATCCCTTCCTCCTCTAGCCCAAAACTCAAAAGCTCCAAAAGCTGTAATAATCAAAACAATATGGTGCTGGCACAAAAATAGACACATAGATCAATGGAACGAATAGAAAACCCAGAAAAGAACTCACAATGTATGGTCAATTAATCTTTGACAAAGCAGGAAAGAATATTCAATGGGAAAAGAATATCTCTTCAACAAATGGTGTTGGGAAAACTGGACAGCAACATGCAAAAGAATGAAACTGGACCACTTTCCTCCACCATAGACCAAAATGAACTCAAAATGTACTAAAGACATAAATGTGAGACCTCAAACCATAAAAATCCTGGAAGAGAACACTAGCAGTAACTTCTTTGACATAGACCATAGCAGCTTCTTTCTGGATATGTCTTCTGAGGCAATAGAAACAACAGTAAAAATAAACTATTGGAACTACATCAAAATAAAAAATTTCTGCACAGCCAAGGAAACAATCAACAAAACTAAAAGGCAACCTACAGAATGGGAGAAGTTATCCGCAAATGACATATCTGATAAAGGGCTAGTATACAAAATATATAAAGAATTTATAAAACTCAATGCCTCCCAGAAAACAAATAATCCAATTAAAAATGGGCGGAAGATATGAATAGTTTTCCAAAGAAGACATACAGATAGCTAACAGACACATGAAAAGATGCTCATCATCACTTATCATCAGGGAAATGCAAATCAAAACTACAATGTGACATCACCTCACACCTACCAGAATGGCTAAAATAAAAAACACAAGAAACAACAGGTGTGGCAAGGATGTGGAGAAAACAGAACCCTTTTGTACTGTTGGTGGGAATGCAAACTGGTGCCGCCACTCTGGTAAACAATGTGGAGTTTCCTCAAAAGATAAAAATAGAACTATCCTATGATCCAGCAATCACACTACTGGGTATTTATTTGAAGAATACAAAAACGCTTCAAAGGGATACATATACCCCCTGTGTTTACAGCTGCATTACTTATAATAGCTAAGATATGGAAGTAGCCCAAGTGTCAATCAATTAATGAATGTATAAAGAAGGTGTGGTATATCTACACAGCGGAATATTATTCCGCCATTACAAAGTGTAAAATATTCCCATTTGTGACAACATGGATGGAGCTGGACAATATAATGCTAATTGGTATATGACAAATACCATATTATTTCACTCATATGTGGAATTTAAGAAACAAAACAAATGAGCAAAGGGAAAAAGAGAGAGATAAATCAAGAAACAGATTTTAACTATACAGAACAAACTGATGGCCCAGAGAGGAGGTAGGTGGGGGAATGGGTGAAATAGAGATGGATGGGGATTAAGGAGTACACTTGTCCTGATAACCACAGGGAGATTTTAAAAACTTGAGTAGCTCAGTCAGTTGAGCGTTTGGCTCAGGTCATGATCTCACAGTTTGTGAGACTGAGCTCCGCATCCAGCTCTGCACTGACAGTGTGGAGCCTGCTTGGGATTTTCTCTCTTCCTCTCTCTCTGCCCCTTCTCTGATCACTCTTTCTCTCTCAAATTTAAAATAAGTATTTTTAAAAACTTGGGAAAAAGTTAAATAATAAACTGGGGATAAAAATACCTAGCCCCATATATGTATATAAAGCACTAAGCATAGTACACAGTACATTATAAGTTCTCAATGAATATTAGCTCTTATTATTCCTAACATTATTTTTTGATATGCACACATATTGTGAAATGATTAGCACAGTAAAATTAATTCACATATTCATCACCTCACACATTATTACCATTTGTGTGTGTGTGTGTGTGTGTGTGTGTGTGTGGTGAGAACATTTACGACTACTCTCTTAGTAACCATCAAATATGTGATGTAGCATTATTAACGATAATCATCATGCTGTACATTAGATTACCAGAACTTATTCAACTTGTAACAAAAAGTTTTTACCCTTTGACCAACATCTCCCCATTTTCTCCCACACCCCAAACCCCTGGTAACCATCATTCTACTCGGTTTCTATGAGCTTTTTCAGATTCCATATATAAGTAAGATCATATGGGGGCGCCTGGGTGGCTTAGTTGGTTAAGCGTCCGACTTTCGCTTAGGTCATGATCTCGCGGTTCATGGGTTCGAGCCCCGCATCGGGCTCTGTGCTGACAGCCAGCTCAGAGCCTGGAGCCAATTTCAGAGTCTGTATCTCCCTCTCTCTCTGACCCTCCCCTGCTCACGCTGTCTCTCTCTCTCTCCTAGAAATAAAAATTTTTTCTTTTTCCCCATGCATCTCCTCATATATCAAATTTTATATTGCACTAAAATTGATTCATGTTTTGACAAATACTTAATGCCCACTATGTGCTTTATTTTTTTGTATTTGGTTATAGTATATTTTAGGATTGGAATTGAGTATTGCCATTTTTTTGGATCCCTTGGGATAAAGCAAACTACCCAGGAAAGCAAAACAATAGATACTTGATGTGACGTGGCAAAAAAAAAAAAAAAAAAAAAAATAAGTAAGATCATATGGTATTTATCTTTCTCTGCTTGGCTTCTTTCACTTAGCATAATACCCCAAAGGTCCACCCATGTTGTTGAAATGGCAGGATTTCCTTCTTTCTCACAGCTGGATATTTCTGTGTGTGTGTGTGTGTCTGTGTGTGCACGCACATGTGTGTGTGTGTGACATTTTTAAATCCATTCCTCCATCAACAAGACACAGGTTGTTTCCATGTATTGGCTATTGGGAACAATGCTGCAATGAACATGGGAATGCAGCTATCTCTTCAAGATAGTGATTTCATTTCCTACCCAGAAAGTAGGATTGTTGAATCATAAGTTCATTCTATTTTTAATTTCTTGAGGAACCTCCATACTGTTTTCCATAATGGCTGTACCAATTTACATTCCCACCAACAATACACCAATGGTTCTTTTGTTCACATCCTTGACAACACTTATCTTTTGTCCTTTTGATGATAGCCATTCTAACAGGTGTGAAATGATATCCCATTGTGGTATGGATTTGCTTTTCCCTGATAATTAGTGATGTTGGGTGCCTTTTCACATACCTGTTGATCTGATGTCTTCTTTGGAAAACTGTTTCTCAGGTCCTTTACTAAGTCTTTAAATAGGGTTATTTGGGTGTTTTTGTTTGTTTGTTTGTTGTTTGTTTTTGCTATAGAGTTCTATGAGATCCTTATATATTTTGAAGATTAACCTCTTATCAGATACATAGTTTGCAAATACTTTCTCCCATTTTGTAAGATGTTTTTTCATTTGTTGATTATTTCTTTTGCTATGCAGCCTTTTAGTTTGATGTAGTCCCACTTGTTTATTTTTGCTTTTGTTGCTTGTATTTTGGAGTCCTATCCAAAAAAAGCACTGCCAAGACCAATGTCAAGGAGCACTTCCCTTGTTTCCTTCTAGGAATTTTATGTTTTGACGTCTTACAATTAAGTCTTTAATTCATTTCAAGTTGATTTTTGTGACTGGATATCAGAACTTTAAAAAATCCATTTTGGATATCCTTAACCATTTCATTCAGCTATTATCCCGTGAAATGATACCAGATAAATACCTTTTCTCTTGCAAGAATCACTATTTGTTGTAAGACCTTTTCTTAGATTGGTAGCTTTATCCTATTCCTGCTTCTACCAAAGACAGTTTTGCGTTTAAACTGTTCCTCCTTCAGGGGGGCCTGGGAGGGGCAGTCGATTATGCAGCTACTTTGGCAAAGGTCATGATGTCAAGATTCACGGGCTCAAGACCCACCTCAGGCTCTGTGCCTGGAGCTTGCTTTGGATTCTCCATCTTCCCCTCTCTGTCTGCCCTTCCCTCACTCATTCTCTCTCTCTCTCTCTCAAAAATAAACATTAAAAAAAACTGTTCCTCCTTCACCAGGACTCTCCCCCAGTCTTTGGGAAAACAAAGACTTTCTAGGAAGGGATTCATTATTCCGTTCATTCATTCATGAAACAAATATTTAGGGAGAACTTACTACGCACCAAATGCTGGGTAAGATGTGGGGAGAAAACAAGCAAAAGCAATTTAGGGCTATCAGAGTGAGGTGGGTACCCACACCACAGTTCAGAAAGTGAATGAATGCAGGGACAAGAAGGGGGGAGGGGCATCTATCTCACCCAGCACCTCAGAAAACTTGCCAGCGCCCTCCCAGTGACACGAGTCACCGTGCACTTCTAGGAAAGGCTTTGATTCTGAGAGAGGGTTTAGGTAAAATAAATGCAGAAAGGTCGAGAGGGTCCGCAATTCAGGCAGAAAAGCAACACGGTGAAAACAAGCCAGCAAGCAAAACTGTAAAGAAGCCTACTCTGAAAGCTTCGCAGACTCTGTCTTGGTCTGAGGAGTAACCAGGTGAATGTGGAGGGAGGGTGGTGAACGTGGCCACAATTCCAGGTCTCGGGGGGCGGTGGGGGGGCCGCGGGGGACGGACAGGAGGCCGCGGGGCTGGGTCGGGTTTCTCCAGGTCAGAGGCCACTGCAGCGCGAGGTGTGCGGTGCGGCGCAGGATGCCCGGCCTCGCCGCGGGGTGTGTGGGCGTGGCGGTCCCGCCCCGGGAGAGGCGGGCCGGGCCGGGCCTATTTGGGGCGCTGCGCCGCCGCCTCGCCAGGGTTCTCACCACCTCGCCAGAAGTCGCCCCCGCAGCAAGCTGTCGAGGGAGCGCTGACCCGTGGGGTGAGTGGCGGGGGCGCCCGGGGACGGAGACGGAGCCTGCTGGCGGCGCCGACGGGGCGGGGGCGCCCGGGCGGGGGTCGGGGTCCTGCGGGTGGCCACCGAGAGGCGGAGGCCCGCGGGCTCCGCTGGGGGGCACCGTCCTGGGCAGGGGCCTGTGACACCTCTAGAGCGCGGTGTGCGACTCCGGGAAAGTTAGCGGCACTTGGCAAACACTCAGGCACTGTTCCCAGGCCGGGCCTGGGTGTGTCCGCGGACCACCCGCCCCGGCGCAGGTCACCCTCAGCGGAGACTGGGAGGCTCGCCGTGGCGCCCGCCCTCCCGTCGCGCGCCCGGGGTCCAGTTCGGGGTTAGGAAGCGGGTCCCCCTTCCCGGGAGGCGGGGAGCCTGCCCAGGGACTGTGGGAGCGGCTCCTGCACCCCGGGACTGGGCTGCGCGGCCGCTGCATCTGGCTGTGGGGAGCGCAGAGGCTCTTCCGGCAGGCCCGGCGGCTGCAGGCGCTGCGGCCGCTCTCGGGGTGCTAATGCCCCAAAAATGGTGATGCCCCCGGGCGTGAGTGGGCATGTGCCCGGCTTGGCGAAGACCGCACGTCCTAAACTTTTGCAAATCAGTGACTCATCCCTGCCCAGATTGACTAACTTGGGCATTAACATCCCGGATCTGTGCTGAGAACGTGTAGGGTGTGGCAGAATGCTAGCCCAAAAGTGCAGAGCCCTGGCTGGGGGCAGCTTTTAAAACACGTATAAAGATGTATTCTGAATTATCAGTCGCTTATATAAAAACACTAAAATGTGTCCATTCTGAGGAGTAGGAGCTTACCTCCAGAGAGTCACATAGGGGACAGGTAGAGTGAGGCTGTGACGTGGGCTTCAGGCCCATCCCTTCAAGTTAGTGGAATCTGCTATTCCAGATACTGTGGAATATTTGTAAAGTGACTCCTGGGAGTTGGGTCTCTGGACAGCGAGGACGGCTGAACCACAGTGACCCCGTCTGTTTCTTGGATTCTGGGAAAGGAATGGAAAAAGTTCATCAGTGATCTTTGGGAGATTGGAACTGCTTCTTTAATTCATAAGGTTTGGGGGTTACACTTAGAATCAACATGTTCTGGGGAGAAGTTTGATGATGGTCTCTGAATATTTTGAGCTTGAAAGTGTTAGAAAGATGCCTCACCAGGTTACTTAAGTAGCAGGAGAGGGGGCACACTGCCTGAAAGATTGACCCCCAAAGCTAACCCTTTTTGCAATGGAAAAGGCAAGTTTCCCTCTGTTGAGAGGTCTTTAATCAAAATTTCACTATGCTACAAATATATGTAAGTACTTTATTTTTTTTTTAATGTTTTATTTTTGAGAGAGAGAGACAGAGACAGCTCAAGTAGGGAAGGGGCAGAGAGAGGGAGACACAGAATCTGAAGGAGGCTCCAGGCTCTGAGCTGTTGGCACAAAGCCTGACATGGGGCTCACTCAAACTCATGAACCATGATCATGACCTGAGCCCCAAGAAGTGCTTTAATATAAAGACTTTTTACTTACTGCTAAGTGAAGTCAAAAGGCCAGTGTTGGTCTCAGCTATAATTTAGGTACCTATTTGGCTAGCATCTCATCAGCAAGACTCTAAATCTTTTGTTTTAAGTTTATTTATTTATTTTGAGAGAGAGAGAGAGAGAGAGAGAAAGCATGAGTCAGGGAGGGGCAGAGAGAGAGATAGGGAATCCCGAGCAGCCTCTGTGCTGTCAGCTCAGAGCCCAGTTTGGGGCTTCGAACTCAGGAACCATGAGATCATGACCTGAGCTAAAGTCAGATGCTTAACCAACTGAGCCACCCAGGTGCCCCTAGGCCCTAAATCTTAACTACAGCAGAGACTTATATTCATTCATATGTTATAACTTCAGCATCTCATGTTGACCTTAAATAGGATTGGCTTATAAAGTTAATGTATCTGAGACTCCTGGTGTCTGATCTGAAACAGCCTCTCTTTCCTGTGATAGTTTGGGAAACAGGCTCCTGCTAAGGACAGCTGAGTTAACACTTGGTATCTAGTTCCTGAACTGGTTCTTCTCATTAAATTCTGAGTGGTAAACCTGCCAGGACAGTGCTTGCTGTAAACTTCCAATTTGCTGCTGACTAAGTATCATATGTTCTCTGTTGATTGATGCTCAGCTTTTCCATAGGGGGAAAAGTCAGTAACTGAGAGCACAAGGTAACTTTACCTTCTTTGATGCTGAGGAACTATGATAAGAAGGAAATCCTAGTAAAGGACCAGTTTCCTTTATTCCAACTCAGCATCACGGAATTTGGCTTTGGAAAGTGGACTTTCCCCAAGCCCTGCTCCATGTTTCAGTAACTGCCTCCGGTATTCTTTGGAAAGGAGTGTGGGCAGTGCTTTGGGGTTCTGAGGAAATACATTCATGATCCACTTCTCTCTCTGTCCTTTGTGAGCAGAAATTGCAGAAGTGCTCCCAGGAACCTTGACTACTGGAGTAATTGCTAGGTGGGCCTAGAATAGCATAGTACTATGCTTTTTATTAGAGGGGAAGGCTACAATTAACAGCCAATTAAAATGGTCTGCATTCTGACTCATGTTTAAAGTCCTGATTTCAAAACAACACTGAATGACTTCCTGTAGGTTTTTCCAAATGTGAAGACCCAGGTAGTATTTCCTCAGTGTTTTGCTTTGTCTCTGATGTCGTGTTTCTTTTCTGGAGTTTCTAAATTCTCTGATTCTGGGAATGGCAGGATGGAGTTCCCATATCTATAGCATTGTAGGGTGAGAAGATTTTTTTTTTTTTACATTTGATTATCTCTTTATATAGACTACCCACCTAAAAAAAAAACAAAAAAAACAAAAAAAAAAAAGGAATTTTCCAGGCAAGTAAGAAAGACATTTATCCAGATAGTTGTGGGTTGTTTTTTTTTTTTTTTGAAGTTCTAAGGTTGCTAGATTTCAAAAGAGCATTGGTTATAAACTTTTTCGAAAAAGAGATCTGATCTGATGTTTGAGAATTAAAATATCAAAAACAGTGCATACCCAATTTTTGGAAAAGTACACTTTATTGGTTTAAATATGGTTATAATTAGTAACATGACTGTGCAAAATGGCATCTTTGTATTCAATATTATGAGTGTTGGAGCTCACTGAATGAGTCACCCAGCTAGTTTTCTGACAAAAACATGATGTTTTTTAATTTGTTTACAATTTCAACATGTTATGTAGTTCTGAATGAATAAGCCAGAGAATTTCTAAGTGAAGTAATAAACACTTTTTCAGGACTATATTTTAAAATTTCAAAGAGTGAGGTTTTTACATTAGTATAAAATGAGCTTGAAATAAGAGTGAGGGTCCTTGGACCCTTGTTGTTGGCCTGCCAAGGACAGAATGACTTTGGGCCACCATATTAGCTCTCTAAGCCTCAGTTTCCTTGCCTCTAGAGTAGGAATAGTAACCTTCCCCTGAAAATATAAGATTATCATCAGAATGAAAATAGGAAAGGTATGGGAAAGTGCTTCATAAATGGAAAAGCATCACACTAATGCAGGGTGTCATTATTCTAACAGGCTTGTCTTATGTGTCACAACACAATCCAAACTGTCACCCAAGGCTTTATGTGAAATGCAGTGGAAAGAACGTGAAGTCTGCTTTGTTTCTCAATTGTTTTGGTTGGAGCCAGAAATAAGCTGAATATGTTTCAGCAGAGACTTTAGGAAGAAATGTTAAATTTTGGAAATGCTGTCTTTAGTTTCTGGTTACAATCAGCCTTTAAACATGTCTTAGTTTGATTGGAGTTATATTAATAAGACACTTTATAAGGCCAATGGTACAGATTTAGCTAGTTTTTTTTTTTTTTTTTAATTGTTTATTTTTAGAGAAAGAGCAAGCATGAGCAGGGGAGGGTCAGAGAGAGAGGGAGAGAGAGAATTCTAAGCAGGTCTCAGGTTGACTGTTAGCACAGAGCCAGACGCAGGCCTCGATCCCATGAATCGCAAGATCATAACCTGAGCCGAGATCAAGAGTTGGATGCTTAACTAACTGAACCACCCAGTCACCCCCAGATTTAGCTAGTTTTAACTACTGAAAATAGCTTTTCGGTTTTTATTGATCTATATATCTACATTTCTGGAGGGATACACATACTAATCAGCCCAGACAAGTGTTTTTTCAACCAGGCACAATTTTGCCCTCTCTCCCCTGCCCCCAGGATGTTTGGCAATGTCTGAAGACATTTCTGGTTGTCACAATGGGGGGGGGGCGGGTATTGTGCAATTGGCATCTTGTATATTGAAGCTACGAATGCTGTTCTCCATCCTGTAATGCTCAGGACAGCTCTGACTGACAGTGTATCCGACCTGAAACATCAGTGGTGCTGAGGCTGGGAAAAAGCCTTTATAGAATGGGGATATTTAAGAGAAGACACAATAATGTATAGAGGTATAAGTCTGGGTCTTTGGTATGTTGCCTAGGAATGGAAGAAAAGTTTGTGTAATCAAAGGAACCAAACTTTCTGCCCACCTTGAAGTTCAAGATTATTTCCTACTGGTGTCCAAAATAAGAGAGGATTTGTTTCCTTAAGAAATGTCCCTTCTCGGATGCCTAGCTTACTCAGTAGAGCATGCAGCCCTTGATCTCAGGGTTGTGAGTTGGAGCCCCACATTGGGTGTAGAGATTACTTAAAAATAAAATCTTTAGGGGAACCTTGATGGCTCACCAGTTAATCGTCCGACTTCAGCTCAGGTCATGATCTCCTGGTCTGTGAGTTCGAGCCCTGCAGTGGGCTCTGTGCTGGCAGCTCAGAGCCTGGAGCCTGCTTTGGATTCTGTCTGTCTGTCTCTCTCTCTCTCTCTGCTCCTCCCCTACTCACACTCTCTTTCTCTCTCAAAAATAAACATTAAAAAAATTTTTTAAATAAAAAATAAAATTGTTAAAAAATAAGAAAAGAAACATCCTTTCTTCTCCTTTTCTGTAATAACTCTTCTCTCAAGTTCCTCTTGTGAGGGCAGTACACTCTTCTAAGCAGTGGTAGCCTTTTAGGGAAGGAAGCATGAGCGGAGGAGCACCTGACTTCTGCTTTAAAAGATTAAATTCTAGGGGCACCTGGGTGGCTCAGTCAGTTAAGTGTCTAACTTCGGCTCAGGTCATGGTCTCACGGTTCGTGGGTTTGAGCCCCACGTCAGGCTCTGTGCTGACAGCTAGCTCAGAGCCTGGAGCCTGTTTCAGGCTCTTATCTTCCTCTCTCTCTGGCCCTCCCCTGCTCACGCTGTTTCTCTCTCTCAGAAATAAATAAAACATTAAAAAATCAAATTTTATAAGAAACACATGAATATAAGCCCTGGGAGAGTCACTGTGACTTCCCAGCCAAATTTCCAATAGTTTTCCACTTTAGAAGATGGACACGGTGATACCCTTTAACTGCTTCCAAATATGTTTGAGAATGCCCAGATTAAAAAGGAGATGTGCAGAAAAACTTAGTAGGAGGTAATATTTAACTAGGTATAAATAACAGCAGAATTTGATAAGATATCTGGTATGTATAAATGAAGGACATTAAGTCTTAGGAGGGGCTCTGGCTATTTTTTTTTTTTTACCAAAAAGTGTAATATTTTACATTTTTAGGATGTATCAATTAGGCTCCCTTGGGGTAATGTCATTTCTTAAAATAATTTAGTAAATCTCACAAGTGGGCAATTCAAGGAAAAAGAGAGGCTGAGTGTTTAAGGGCCAGGTCATTTGAGCAGGTGATCCTGATCTGAAAAAACTTACTCAGGCCTCAGGAGTCCCAGGTTGTCCTCCTCCGCTCACTGCCGGAGCACCTGCAGAGGGGACAGGTGCAAAATATCTATGGTTAGAGCCGTGGCCCAGGGAGAGGAGCAGGAGAAAGCAGGAATGATGTGTTCTTGGCAAAGCCAAGTCTCTTTGGTATCATCCTACCCAAAAATATTTTCCTCCACATTGCCTGGCCATCCCTCCTTTCCTCCCTTCTCCCCTCCTCCTCCTCCCCTCTTCTCCCCCTCCTCCCCTCCCTCCCTCCCTCTCCCTGCTCCTCTCCTCCTCTCCCATCCCCTCCCCTTTTCTCTCCTCATCTTTTTTTCACATCCTCATTTGTTAATACTTCCGGAGTTTCATTTGGCGTAAAAAAAATCTTAAAAAAAAAAAAAGAAAGAAAGGAGAAAAAAGGAGGCATCTTGTGCCTGCCTTTAATTTTCATTGCTCCACATCCGATCTCACCTCTCCTTTAAGGCTTAGTTCAAACACCACCACCTCTTCCCCTCTTAGAAATAAGAGTTCTAGTTGAGACACTCCATCACACAGTCTGGCTCACAGTGTTGATCCCTTGTGATCCCTGTTGGCCTGTGAACCCTTTGACCATTTAGATCGTGGCCATTCCGTCTTCAAACCCAGAGAAGAGCCCATCCAGTGCCTGGCCCAAAGCAGGCATAAATATGTGCAAGTGAAGGAATAAATAGTTGGCAGCAGCTACATACAGGGACACTGGTTTTCAGATCTCGGTCAACTCCGCTCTCCTCCTAAAACCCAGAAGATGGCATGGGGATCTTGGGAACCAGAGGGGAGGGGAGTGATCTTAAGAGGCTGGACACTTTGTAAGAGGTGGTGGGAACAGCAACCAGGAAGGAAGGTGAGGAAGATCATAGACAACCAGGACTGTTTGTGTCTTTACCAAGGAAAGGGGCAGAACATTTCCTTCCTGGTCTTTTCTCTCCTGTCTCATATGCCCCAGGATTGAGAACACAGGCTAGTATGATTAGAGTTTAAAGTGATGAATTAAATAGGGCTGGAGTGCATCCCTGCCCTTTGACGAGCTACTTTGGTGGTTCCAACACTACTGATTTATGTGTATCTGGGGAATAAACTGGCTGGGGAATAAAATGCCCACCTGTAGATTGTCTATAACTGCCTGATGAACTATTTGTGATGTTGTGTTGGTAGGGAAAACTGGTGAAATCTAGGATCAAATGATAACCTATCTCTTTTTCCCCCCCTTTCAGGAAAATGGCAGACAGTTTTTCAGTAAGTGTTTTATGTCTATTTTCTTACCTTAATATACATTCCATGTAGGTTCAGGACATTTTTTTCTTTACCACCAGACATTCCCTTCTAATTTTCCCACCACTTGGCTTCTTCTGGCCTTAACTGCCCAATGAGGACTTATTAGCTGAAGTCTTGTCTTTCCAGAAGCAGATTCAGGAAGAAAGCGAGGCAGATAGAGGCCTAAGACTCACTAACAGTAACTCCTTTACTGAAAAGCCTGGGGCAGAAGCAGGTGGGGTCCATGCTCAGGACCTGAGAAATAAGATGAGCAGTGGCAAGTATGGTGCAGTCTGAGCATCCTAATTGCTGTGATTGCTTTTCTCACATCAGTTAGAGAGTATGTGCTTTTACATGGAGGAAGGCTAGCTCCTGACTTTGCTAAATTGTGAAAGGCAGCCCTCCATGATCTGAGATGATGGGAGCAAGAACAAAGCGATACAGGAGATGCACCAGCAGTTGTGCAGATGCCCCATGAGGCAGGGAGGAAGGGAGAGATACCCTGGCTTCTCACTTCTTCCCACTCTTTTTTTTTTTTTTAAAGTTTTAATTATTTCTGAGAGAGAGACAGCGTGAGCAGGGGAGGGGCAGAGAGACAGGGAGACAGAATCTGAAACAGGCTCCAGGCTCTGAGCTAGCCGTCAGCACAGAGCCCGAAGTGGGGCTCGAACCCATGAACCGTGTGATCATGACCTGAGCCAAAGTCGGATGCTCAACCAATTGAGCCACCCAGGCACCCCTTCTTCCCACTCTTTAATCTCTTGCCAGTGCTGCCCGTTAGCTAGACTCTGGGAGCCTGGCGAACACTATCTGCAGGGGTCAGTTCCCTGGGTTTGGTACAAGGGAAGGAAGAAGGATGGATTTGACCAGCACCTTGGGAATATGGCAGGGCTGACTCTTTGCTGTCAAACATGGAACTCATGGAACTCTGGGAACTCAGACCCATCACCCTGACCACCTGCTATAGGGCATCTTTTCACCTGAACCATGTAGTTGTTTGATTTTGATAAGCTATGATCATCAAAATGCAGATAATCAAGTACAGGCCTGTACCAGAAACCACTGTGCATGGCCATGCACCTGTTGTGGCTGCCTGGGCCAGTCTTGTGGTTCTGCTAGAGGTTAGACATGCTGCTAAGAATGGAACCACCCGTTTCTAAAGCCCTCTTCAGGAATGGTCTTGTGCGATGGGATGGAGATTCTTATTAAACCATCCTGGTTCTTTCTTTCCAAGGAACAGTCAATGCCATTGGATAGATGTGCTAACTTTACCATGTAGTTAATATATTGACCCACTATGGCCAAGAAAATATAGCAGTCATTTTTAGAATAGCAATCCATCAATAAAATGCCTTCTTTATGGAAAGACGATTCATGTTGAAAACTGTAAATTGCTTTGCTTTCCATTTTCTGTATGGCTCCCTTCCTCCCCATGCAGACCATTCAACCTGGAATCCCACTTACTTAATGGCATGATGGGGCCTTAAAAACAACCATAAACTTTAAAATTTTTAAATAGTCCTGGATTTACAGAAAAAATACAAAGATAGTACAAAGAGTTCCAGTGTACCCTATGCTCACTTTTCTCTACTGTTAATGTTTTACATTAGTATGGTACATTTGTTAGACATAATGAACTGGTGCTGATACATTATTACTAAAAACATAATAAATAAAGCGATGAAGCATATATAATCCCAAAGTCTAATTTTAGTCGTAGGAACCGCAGACTATTTCATAGGTGGAAAAAGTTTTGTTGATACGAATTTCATATCTTTACCATATCCCTCTACTTCCTAGATCACATATTCCTGTTTCCCCAAAATTCTGTTTTTGTGAATGTTTTTCATCCTGTAATTGTTTATGTCTTTCTTTCCAGCTTAATGATGCTTTGTCTGGGTCTGGAAACCCAAACCCTCAAGGATGGCCTGCTCCATGGGGAAACCAGCCTGCTGGGGCAGGGGGCTACCCGGGGGCCGCCTATCCTGGCACCTACCCTGGACAGGCGCCCCCAGGCACCTACCCTGGACAGGCGCCCCCAGGCACCTACCCTGGACAGGCTCCTCCAGGCGCCTACCCTGGACAGGTGCCTCCAGGCGCCTACCCTGGCCCCACGGCACCTGCTTATCCTGGACCAACTGCACCAGGAACCTACCCTGGGCAACCGAGTGGGCCTGGGGCCTACCCGCCCCCTGGACAGCCAAGTGCTCCCGGAGCCTACCCTGCTGCCGGCCCCTTTGGCGCCCCTGCTGGACCACTGGTAAGATGGAGTTAGTTGTTTCATACACTTGATTGTGATCAGGACCAAGCTAATGAAGAACAAACACAGCAATGGTCTGGAGCGTTGGGGCCATTACTTTGCTGTGCTCTGGCTGGGAGCTGGCTCTGCACACTGACATGCAGAGGGCTCCAGAGAGACCTGCAGCTTTAAATTCACTGGTTAGAGCCACTTTTCAGGGACCAGCCATGGTGTATATCAGTCCAATAGAAAAAATCGTTATTTATATTTCGTTTAGTATGTGTACTGTTCGTATAAAGAGAAATCGATGTATCTTTTGAAGACATCTGTAAAGCAGCTTTAATATAAATGAAGTCAAGATCATAGTAATGGGGGAACATTTGGATTACTATTATTAATATACACTGAGTACATAACACGTACCAGCAGTGTGCTTCTATGTGAATAATTTCACTTAACCTATAACCACCCTATGAGACACTGTTATTATTCCTACTTTACACTCAAGGAAATGGGACAATAGTCATACAACTTGCTAAGAGTCATAGAGGGAATGTGTAGGGAAACCAAGGTAATGTGGTTTTGAAAAACCTTCTGGAGGTAATTTTGTTTTTGTTTTTTAATTTTTTTAATGTTTTATTTCAGAGAGAGAGAGAGAGAGAGAGCGTGAGCAGGGGAGGGTCAGAGAGAGAGGGAGACACAGAATCGGGAGCAGGCTCCAGGCTCTGAGGTGTCAGCACAGAGCCCAACACGGGTTTGAACCCATGAACCATGAGATCATGGCCTGAGCCAAAGTCGGATGCTTAACCAACTGAGTCACCCAGGCGCCCTGGTAATTTTGTGATCTAAAGATGGAATTTTCATTTATGTTAAAACCCACTTTAGTAAATGAATTCTAAATGTAAAATATAATTCTGTGGGGCTCCAGATACATCTCAGACACAGATCTTTCCCTTCCAGATGTATAGATTGGTTGGGAGGTAACATACAGATGTGAGGAATGCGTTCAGCAGCAGCATGGGTTCAGACCCTTCAGGACTATGTGGTTGCTGGCACAGGTAGTGTCTGACCTGCTTTTAGGTCAGCTTAGAGGAGAGTGCAGAGAAGGTGTTGGGAGTGTGGGCAGCATTGAGCAGGGCCTTGAGCACAGTTAGTCATTTGTAGATGGAGGGGGACACGGAGGCTGTGGAAAGGAAGAGGCAGATGTGAGATAGGTTACAGAGGAAGAATCCCAGGAGCTAGTGGTTAGGTCTTAGGAGTCAGAGATGACTGGGTTTTCAGGGATGGACAACTACAGAACCGGCCAAGGGTCAGCCCAAAACAAGAACTCAGGAAGGAGACCTGATGAGGGATGGGGGAGAAGAGACAATTACAGTTCACACCTGTTGGATTTGAGGCATTGCAGCAAATTCAGAGAGGAGGAGGTATAGGGCCTGGAGTAAAAAGACTTGGGTGGTGGTTGAACCCAGGGGGAAGAAATTATGAAGGGAAAAGAGAAGAGGCGAAGAGAGTTTGGGGAATATTTACAGTACCTTGAACATAGATGGTCAATAAATTTTTGTGGAAGAACAGGGAGTGCATGAAACAAACAAGTGTTCATTTAGTACATAAATTATCTGCCTTTAAAAAAAACCCCTAAACTTTTAAATTTTAAAATAGTTGTAGATTTACAGAAAAATTACGAAGATAGTACAGAGAGTTCCCGTATACTCTACACCCACTTTCCTCTATTGTTAATGTCTTACATCAGTAAGTGTCTGCTAAGTATCTGCTACATTCAAAACATCCTGTTGATGCAATGTAAGTAGAACATAGGAGAACTCACAAGTCCCTAAATGTGACACATCTGCCCTCAGGGAGCAAAATAACCATGGTGAATTTCACACATTATGTGACAAAGGTCTTAAGAGTGGCACAAAGTTGTGTACCTAAAACTGATACAATTATACCTCAATAATAATAATAATAAAAAGAGCAGCTAGCAAAAAATGTTAGTGTTGATGGCAAGGTCTAGCTTAAGCCTTTCCAAAAAATAGTCCAAGTGAATGAATTATAGATTGGGATGTCTTAGTAATGACTGAGAGATACAGTGCTCCAAAAAGGAATATGTTCTGTCTTTGGTTCCGATTAACTGATGGCTTTATTCTTGATTATTGCTTGTGCACGTAGGAAGCCTTATCCCTTCAGGTCTTGGGCAGGGGGACCTGAGAGTCTGGAAAAATGGCTTAAAATGGGGTTATATGTTATTCACATTCAGCAACATTCTTTCTTTCCCCAACAAAATATGACTCTTTATTAATACATACATGCTTTTTCTTCCCAGACTGTGCCTTATGACCTGCCTTTGCCTGCAGGAGTCATGCCTCGCATGCTGATAACAATTCTGGGCACAGTAAAGCCCAATGCAAACAGGTAAGGAGCAAAATTAGCAACTTAAACATATTTGTCAATTGCCTCTTGAATAAAGAATGATCTATTTTGAATTTTAATAAAAATTTTAATGCTACACATTTAGAATTGGGATTATCCCATAAATCAGTGTATGTTCCCACCAAGGGGACATAGTGTCCTTCACTCAATCTTGTTTTTCTCCCACAACCACAATGAGACAGTTCTCCTTTGTGAGCACAAAGAGAAAGAGCAGAAAACCCATTCAGAAAAACCTAGCTTTTTCCTCACAATGAGAGCCTTAGAATTTAAGGGAAGTAGAGCCTCTGTAATGTAATACTTGGCCACCCCCCACTCTGAGCTATACATTGTCTAAAAAACCAACCATGCATTTTATGCCTAGATGTCCATCAAAAATTAGAGTCAGGGGCACCTGAGTGGCTCAGTTGGTTGGGCATCGGACTTTGGCTGAGGTCATGATCTTGTGGTTTGAGTTCAAGCCCTGCGTCAGGCTCTGTGCTGACAGCTCAGAACCTGGAGCCTGCTTTGGTTTCTGTCTCTGCCTCTCCCATGTGCACGCTCTGTCTCTCTCTTTCTCAACAATAAACATTAAAAAAAGAAAAAATTAGGGTCAAAAACACGAAAGATTACCGTGAATGGAATTTTGAGTTATCTGAGAGCTTACGTACCATACCACTCTCTCCTCATACTTGTACAGATCACCCTGCAGTTATGCATGGCACAGTGCAATCTAAGATCTGGTAAGCCTGATTGCCATTTCCACCTTCCTACTGGGCACATCAGCAGAGTCCCAGATGCCCATGGTGTCAGCCTGCTCTTCAGATGTTAAGTACCACTCTTCTGAGTAGACATTATTTACTTACAGATTTGAAAAGATTCTACAAGTTAAAGACTTCATCAAAATAAGCCAGCCTTTGCCACTGGAACTGGTTTGATGGAGGTGAGCTAGGATGGAGTAAGACTTTGAGCTAATTGAGGAAAATCTATGCTGATTTATGGCTGCCCTGGGATGCCTGGTTATCACCACTAGTTATATCTACATGTAATATGAGTGGGTTAAGGATATCCTGAAGACATCCAGTATACCTGTCCCTGAGGTTAGTGGTACCATTAACAGCCCACAGCCATAAATTAATCCGTTTCCGGGTTTTATGGACAGTGCACAAAAGGTAAAAATTCAAGCTATGTATACAGGTATCCAAGAATCCATAAGTAGCCTCTCTGTCACCTTGCTCCTGGTGGATTAGTGGGAGCCACCTTGTCTGTTACCAGGAAATGGGCTCCACCTCCAATCTGATCATTTACATTCAGATAGCTCATTTACTCTACCTTCAGCCAGCTTTCCCTGGTTCTGTATGGTAGCCATTACCCTTTCCACCCAGCCTATACTGCTTCTCTAAACATAGAGCTTTCCTGAACAATAAAGCTTGTCTCACAGCCAGCTGCAAAACGTATATATCCTCTACCTGTGTCTTTATCCATCTTTCCTTCCCAAATACCACACAGAATCCAGCACACATGACCCTGGGCATACTGCACTCAGGATTTGTGAATATCTGCCCTCCTTCCTCAGCCGCTATCACACAGAACCACACTGGTATGTTTGCCTTATTTAGGGTTATTGCATTAGAAACTTTAGCTCCAGTAACACTAGAGATGTAGACAGAGACTATGGCAGATTAAAACTAATTTTGGTTAGGGGCGCCTGGGTGGCTTAGTTGGTTAAGCTTCCGACTTTCGCTTAGGTCATGATCTCACGGTTCGTGGGTTCGAGCCCCGCGTCGGGCTCTGTGCTGACTGCCAGCTCAGAGGCTGGAGCCTGTTTCAGAGTCTGTGACTCCCTCTCTCTCTGACCCTCCCCTACTCATGCTGTCTCTCTCCTAGAAATAAATAAAAAACATTTAAAAAAAAATTAAAAAAAAAACTAATTTTGGTTGAAATGGTAGTAAACAGAAAAAATGGTTGCTTGCTTCTGCAAGGAGCAGAATTCTGTGTGAGGAATTACATGAAACAAAGAATGCTTAAGGTGGTAGAGATGGCAAGATCTTCCTTTCAACTGTAGAAAAAATACAGCCATTTGGATTTTTTTTTTTTTTTAAATGTTTTATTTATTTCTAGGAGAGAGAGAGAGAGAGAGCGAGCGTGAGCAGGGGAGGGTCAGAGAGAGAGGGAGTCGTAGACTGAAACAGGCTCCAGGCTCTGAGCTGGCAGTCAGCACAGAGCCCGACGCGGGGCTCGAACCCACGAACCGCGAGTACATGACCTAAGCGAAAGTCGGACGCTTAACCGACTAAGCCACCCAGGCGCCCCAGCCATTTGGATTTTTTAGTCAAATACAAATTCTGCTGTCATCTATTTTGACCCTCTCCCTGTGAATTTAATCATTGGAAGATACATTTGTAGCTGTATGTGTCTGTTACTGAGAAAATGAAAATACCCAAGGAATCCTTTTATTTTTTTAATTTTTAAAAAATGTTTTATTTATTTCTGAGAGAGAGACAGCATGAGCAGGGGAGGAGCAGAGAGAGGGAGACACAGAATCTGAAACAGGCTCCAGGCTCTGAGCTGGCTGTCATCACAGAGCCCGACATGGGGCTTGAACCCATGAACCGTGAGATCATGACCTGAGCCGAAGTTGGACGCTTAACCACCCAGGCCACCCAGGCACCCCAGAAATCATTTTATTTAATGGTTATTTAATTTTGAGAGAGAGAAAGAGAGACAGAGCATAAGTGGGGGAGGGGCAGGGAGAGAGAGACACAGAATCCAAAGCAGGCTCTAGGCTTAGAGCTCTCAGCACAGAGCCCAATGTGGGACTTGAACCCATGAACTGTGAGATCATGACCTGAGCTGAAGTCAGACACCCAACTGACTGAACCACCTAGGTGCCCCCCAAGGAATCATTCTTGATAGGTCTAGAGTGTGGACCTTGCTTTAAAACAAGAGCACCAGCTGATTCTGATGTTAGTGCCCTCAGGAGCACACTTTGAGAAGCTGAGGGATAGAGTTAATACTTTAACAGTCTGAGGACTTGTGTTTGCATTAACAGCCAAGGAGAAGGAACAAGGTCAAAAAGTTAAGCCAGCACTTCAATTAATTCCACTTGACATCATGGAATGTTTAACACATTGATCGCCATGACCTCACAACTTAGCAACAGGATACCAAACATTATGTTGTCTCATTCTTGTTATTTTAGGACTTAGGTTTTTGGTTAACTATAAGGAAGTCAGGTATTTGATAGCTTTTATTTATGTGACTGGCCTGCCTTTCATAGGTATTATAAGTAGCAGGGCAGGACAGGGAAGAGGTAACCATTATTATTTGCCATGTAAAGCATAAAGTGGCCCTAAACTTCCATAAGGAAACCTTGAAGAGTTTTCATGGTAGAGGAAGTAAAGAAGTAATGACAGCTGAATGGAATGATGTGACCAAAGACAATGAGGCAACAAATGGAACACATACTGCCTTACTTACTTTCAGATACTACAAGAATACATCGAATACTTGGCCTAGTATACTTTCCAGTTTGAAGCCATACTCGGCTTCATTTACTTCCTGTTTACAACATGTTCCTGAACTTAAGGATTTGTTCTTTAGAAAATTATATGTTCTTTGGGGTGCTTTGGTGGCTCAGTTGTTGCGTGCCTGACTCTTGGTTTCTGCTCAGGTCATGATCTCAAGGTTCATGGGTTTGAGCCCTGTGTCAGGCTCTGTGTTGACGGCACAGAGCCTGGAATTCTTTGTCCTCTCCCCTTCTCATGTTCTCTCACTCAAAAATAAATAAACATTAAAAAAAATTCTACATTCAGGGCTCCTGGGTGGCTCAGTTGGTTAAGCATCCCAACTCTGGCCAGGTCATGATCACATGGTTCATGAGTTTGAGCCCCGCATCGGGCTCTGTGCTGACAGCTCAGGGCCTAGAGCCTGCTTCAGATTCTGTTTCTCCCTCACTCTCTGCCCCTCCTCCACTCACGCTCTTCTCTCTCTCTCAAAAAAATGAATAAACTTTAACAAAATTTTTTAAAATAAATAAATAAACCCTATGTTCTTCACTTGATACAAATGTACAACTTCAGTCGTTTTACTAATTCTGGTCTTTGGTTTAAAACAGACTTGCTTTAGATTTCAAGAGAGGGAATGATGTTGCTTTCCACTTTAACCCACGCTTCAATGAGGACAACAAGAGAGTCATTGTTTGCAATACAAAGCTGGATGATTTATGGGGAAAGGAAGAAAGACAATCGACTTTCCCATTTGAAAGTGGTAAACCATTCAAAGTAAGTTATTGCTACTATTATCTATTGATAATGTATAATTCTCATGGGGAATCAGCCTCAAACCACAATGTATTTGAACGGAGTTTTTTATCAACTGTCCAGGGAGACCTAACTAGGACATCTGCTCCCCATCTTGGGACGAAGCACAATAGGACTCACACACTCCCCAACTCCATTTGTGCATTTCACTACTGTTCCTGTTATTACACCTTTGAGTTTAAGCTTTTCTGGAAATGAGAAAAATGACATCTTAATAAAAAAGGCAGAAAGTCTTGATGGGACAGTTGGGCTGACACTTTCTTCCTTAATACAACATAGTTGGCATAGTAATCAAAACTAAGTTCTAAAATTAATGCATATTTGTTTTATGAAAAAAATGTATAGGTTTTCAAATTAAAAAGTCCTCCATCGTTTCTCCTTTTCCCCAGACTGACAAAGGTTGCAACTTGGTGAATATCTTTCTAGTATTTTCTGTGATGTACAGCACACTATTTATCTACTTATTTATTAAAAAAAACCTTTTATTTATTAAGTAATCTCTACCCCTGAACTCATGACCCCGAAGAGTCACATGCTCTACTGACTGAACCAGTCAAGCATCCCCACACTTTTTATTTTTAAGCACTGCTTTAACAAATATTAGGCCCACACGTTGGGTTAGGTTAACAGTAGAGTGGCCAATAAAACAGCTAGACTGTAAGCTCCTCAGGGGCAGGGATTTACAACGATCATATTCTATATTTGGTGAACATCATTTTATACTAGAACATTGTTACTTAGGGACACTTGTTTGGCTTAGTCAGTGAAGCATCTGACTCTTGATCTTAGCTCAGGTCTCGGTCTCGGGGGTGTGAGTTCAAGCCCTATGTTGGGCTCTGTGCTTTGGACGTGAAGCCTACTTAAACCAAACCAAACCAAACCAAACCACACCACACCACACCACACCACACCACACCACACCACACCACACCACACCACACCAAACCAGAACAGGGGCACCACACCACACCACACCACACCACACCACACCACACCACACCAAACCAGAACAGGGGCTCCTGGGTAGCTCAACTGGTTAAGCGTCTTGATTTTGGCTCAGGTCATGATCTGACTCACACTAGGCGTGGAGCCTGCTTAAGACTCTCTCTCTTCTTCCCCCTCTGCTCCTCCCCTGCTCTCTTTCAAAAACAAGCAAGCAAACAAACAAAACGTTACTTAATAGTATTTCAACTATTATGTGATAATTCAACAAGTGCCCTATTGATAATTTGGAGTATGTAAATATTCTAAACAAATAAAACCTGGAGGGGTTATTTTACTAAAATATTGTAATAAGTGTCCTTATAAATCTTTGCCTCCTAGAAGAATAATTGTATTCTAAGAATATACATATTTAAAATTTAGGTAAGATATTGCCAAAGTGCCCCTTCCAAAAGGTTGTAAGGGTAAACGTGCTCACTACTATTGGAAGAGTGTTCCCACTGCTCTTGCCAGAACTGGTTATTATCAGTCTTCACATTTGCCACTCTACTACGGGATTCCTACTTTAGTATTTTTATTTTTATTTATTTGGTGAAGTACAGTTGACACACAGTGTTACCTCAGTTGGAGGCGTACAACATAGTGATCTTTATGAGTTATGCTGTGCTCACAAGTGCAGCTCCCCTGTCACCATACAACACTATTACAGTACCATTGACTGTATTCCCTTTGTTGTATCTTTTATCCCGGTGACTTACTCATCCCATAACTGGAAGCCTGGACCCCCCACTCCCCTTCAACAATGTTGCCCATCCCTGTATCCCTCTCTCCTCTGGCAACCATGTTTGTTCTCTGTATTTATGGGTCTTTTTCTGCTTTTTGTTCATTTGTTCCTTTTTTTGAATTGTTTTTTAGATTCCACAGTATAAGTGAAATCATGGTATTTGTCTTTCTTTGACTCTTTAAAAAAATTTTTTAATGTTTATTTATTTTTGAGAGAGAGAGAGAGGCAGTGTGAAGAGGGCAGAGACAGAGACAGAGACAGAATCTAAAGCAGGCTCCAGGCTCCGACCTGCCAGCAGAGCCCAATGCAGGACTTGAACTCACGAACCATTAGATTATGACCTGAGCCGAAGTCGGACGACGCTTAACTGACTGAGCTACCCAGGCGCCCCTGTCTGACTTCTTTGATTTAGCATAATACATTCTAGGTCTGTTCACATTGCCACAAATAGCAAAACTTCATTCTTTTTAATGGCTGAGTAATATTCTATTGTATTTACATACCACATCTTCCTTATCCATTCATCTACAGATACACACTTGGGTTGCTTCCATATCTTGGCTATTATAAATAATGCTGCAGTAAAATGGGGGTGCATAGATCTTCTCAAACTCGTGTTTTTCAGTTTCTTTCGGTAAATACCCATTAGTGAAATTACTGGATCATATAGTATTTCGAGCTTTAGTGTTTTGAGGAACCTCCATACTGTTTTCCACAGTGGCTGCACCAATTTACATTCCCACTAACAGTGCACAGTGTTCCTTTTACTCCACATCCTCACCAGCACTTGGTGTGTTTATATTTTTACTTTTAGGGGTTAGCCATACAAAAATTTTGTTTTTATGTAGACACATTATTAATCTTTTCCTTTATAGCTTCACCTTACCCTTATCATTTTATTTTGCTTAAATCTTTAAATAATCTGGAGTCTTATTTTTACTGCAAAGTTACTTCTCTGGACTTTAATCAGTTCCACAGATGATCATAAAGATGAACTATGGGACATTCTGAGCTCAAGCCAGACTGGTTTTGAAATTAATGAGCATTTCCGGGGCACCTGGGTGGCTCAGTCGGTTGAGCGTCCGACTTCAGCTCAGGTCATGATCTCACGGTTCATGGGTTCAGGCCCTGTGTCAGGCTCTGTGCTGACAGCTAGCTCGGAGCCTGGAGGCTGTTTCAGATTCTCTGTCTCCCTCTCTCTCTGACCCTCCCCTGCTCATGCTGTCTGTCTCTTTCTCTCTCAGAAATAAACATTAAAAAAAAAAAAAAAAAGATAAATTAATGAGCATTTCTAACAGTTTTGTGTATGTGCCATTTCAGATACAAGTGCTGGTTGAATCTGACCACTTCAAGGTTGCCGTCAATGATGCTCACTTGTTGCAGTACAATCATAGGATTAAAAATCTCCAGGAAATCAGCAAACTGGGAATTTCTGGTGACATAGATCTCACCAGTGCTTCACACATAATGATATAATCTTAAAGGGGAAGATTTTTTAAAAAATGAAATTGAATATAAACCTTTACATTTAAATCTCATGTTTACTGACTGAAAAATTTTACCTTTCTTTATTCATGAATGTCTTCCTTGTAAGTCATGCATTTAATAAACATTCTAAGAGTTACTTGTCTTTATATGTCATTTAATTGGGGCAGTTTATTCTTTTTGTTTTTAAAGATTTTATTTTTAAGTAATCTCTACACCCAACATGGGGCTTGAACTCCCAACCCCGAGATCAAGAGTTGCACACTCCACTGGCTGAGCCAGCTAGGCATGGGGCAATTTATTCTTGATAATGCACAATGGACTCCGTGGAGAAGGAATATGTAGCAATATTAATACTGCACTAGAGTCTCCCAAAGTTTCCTATGCTTGCTAAAATAAGAAAATATTTAAACCTCTGAGTTTCCATAAAACCCAGAAGATACTACAAGACTACAAGGAAATCATTCTTCCACTCTCTTAATTAAGGAAATATATATTCAGAAAATAAGAAAAACACAAAGAAAAAGTTTAGCTTTTTTTAGTTAGCATTATGGTATATATTTTTGTTCCTCTTAACTATTTTCTCTTTCTAAATGAAGCTGTTTTCAAATCCATATTTGATACCAATATGAGACAATCTTACTGTAAGTTCTCTTGGTTTTTATGAAATATTACATTTACAGAGGAAAAATAAAACTCTTAATTGGATCTATAATCAGCTTGAAAAATTGAATAGTTCCCATTGCCAACATTCTCAACCATGCCTTTCTGTCCTTCCTCATTACCACCAGGCCCAAGGATTAGTACAACTTCAAAACTAGAATGTGGTCATAACACTTCATTTTATAAAAGATCAAAATATTGTTTGGTTTCTACACCACCACCTCCTAGATATTATCACGAGGTGGGTTCCTCAGGAAGCAGAGATTAGAACACAATAGGTTTATGGGGGAGAATCTCGCAATTAACAACTGCACACAATTGGGCAGAGGGAGAAGCTGGGCATCGAGGCCTCAGCCCACCCTGAGGGCTTCTGAAGATGGGATGATCCTTTGGAGCTGTCAAGAGGAGGGACAGTCCTTCATATCTTCACTTTGATCAGTGAATAAATACAAGCCACCTGAGAAGCAGTACGATCTTGGGTGAAGTGACTGTCTTTACCTGAGGTAGTTTTCACACGGGGATGATACCTGAAGGCTGTTTAGAAACAGTTCTAGCAATTAAAGGAAAATTTTCAGTCCTAAAAAGGGATGTGAGCAGCACATCACATTTTATTTGGAAAACTACATTGGGGTGCCTGGGTGGCTCAGTCAGTTAAGCATCCAACTTTTGATTTTGGCTTAGGTCATGATCTCACGGTTCATGAGTTCGAGCCCTGCATAGGGCTTTACATTGATAGCATGGAGCCTGCTTGGAATTCTCTCTCTACCCGCCCCCTCCCCCCCATCTGTACCCCTCTCATGTGTTGTCTCTCAAAATAAACTTTAAAAAATATTTAAAAAAAGAAACCTAAAGGGGCACCTGGGTGGCTCAGTCAGTTAAGCAACTGACTTGGGCTCAGGTCACGATTCCACGGTTCGTGGGTTCGTGCCCCGCATCAGGCTCTGTGCTGACAGCTCAGAGCCTGAAGACTGCTTCGATTCTGTGTCTCCCTCTCTCTCTGCCCCTCCCCCACTCACAGTCTGTCATGTCTCTCTCAAAAATAAATGAACATTAAAAAAAAAAAAACCTATGTTAATTCCTTACTCTAACATTCTGATCTTGACTGTTCCACACCTGAGTGGAAAAACTTATTAAGTGTAAAAGCTATGGAAAAAAGAAGGAAGTGGTTTGCACAAAATTACTTAAATCTTCTGAGCCTTGTTTTCTTGTCTATAAAATGGTGATATATCTTTTGTAGGGTTACTGTCATCATTGAATAAATATTGTTTGCAAAAGTGTTGTCATATCATGGTAGATCCTCAATAAATGGAATTTTTTTTTTTCATATTCGTAAAGCCATTTGTTCTACCCAGCAGTATTCTTTCATTGTATCTTTAAAGATCTTCCTAATACCTTATAATTCTAGAGTCCAATAGCCCAAGAACACTATCTAGTTGTACAGCAAATTGATGGCTAACTACCCATCCATTCCCTGCTTCCTAATAGTCATGGTTTTATTCAGGTATAATCCTAGATAAAACAGGGAATTCTGTTTAGGTAAAGACAATCCCTGGCTGAACTGCAAATGGAGATGTGGCATCGGATGGCCTAACTGGACTAAAGGAAAGCATATACATACTCTGCCATTTTGTGACCCCAAAAGGACCCAGCCATAGAGAAGCTAACCCTGAGGATAACAGAACTATGAATAGAATGTGTGACCATCATTGAACTGTTGGTTGCAAAGTGTCTGGAATCACCCTGACAACCTGTGAAAATAATAAAACTTCCTTGTTGGGGCTCCTGGGTGGTGCAGTTAGTTATGCGTCTGACTTGATTTCAGCTCAGGTCATGATCTTACAGCTATGAGCTCCACACTGGGTGTGGAGCCTGCTTAAGATTTTCTCTCTCTCTCTCTCTCTCAAAAATAAACATTTAAAAATAAATAAACCTCCCTGTTATTAAGCTAGTTTGAGTTCATTTTACTATTACTAAACAGCCAAAAGTTCTCTGAACAATAATAGCGTATCTTACTAAACCTACAAAAAATAAAAAATCATGTTTACTGGCATTGTTTTTATTTTCATCTGCCTTATCCTTGAGGGCAGATATTATTTTATTGTTATGTTGCATATTGATTTATATGGATTCTAAGTCTTTCAGTTACTTTGCACCTGGGCCCTTAGACAACACTAACTTTTATATATGTTTCTGTGTTCTGCATGTCTTGCTTGAATTATTTATTAACTGGCTGTTGGAGCCGCTTTTATCTTTTGCTGAGACTAGGCATTCTAAGGACATTTTTCTAAGCCAACACCTCACATAGCCTAACTGCTCATATGAACTTGATAATAAATACTATCTTTCCCATAAGCCTAACATACCTTTCTCTGACAACAGAAGTGGATGTGTTTTTTTTTCTTTTTGAAAACCCCTAATTTTACAAGTTTATCTATAAAGTTGCTGCTCGTTTGGAGACCACTCCAATCCTGACTCATTTAGAGGCGGAAATAACCCTCCAGGTCTGGTGACAAGCCTTAGCTACTATGACTCCTCTTGATGCTTCTGTTATTCTCATGGCCCTGTTGCCTACAACCCTGCAAATGAAGAGTTTTTTAAAAGAGAAAATATTTCAAACACATTAAGTGATTGACATAATTCTCTTCAAGGGAAGAAGGCATCTTTAGGCTGTCAGTCAGGTCAAGGGGAAAATGATAAGAAAAAGGCAAAGATTTAATGGGCCCCTCTGAGAGTTTAACCATTTTTTGACTGTAGCATGTAAACTGACTTTGGATTCCAGAAAGCTCATTTAAAGAAAACACAGTATACCCTGGAAAATGCAATCTGCAAAGCTGTTTAACATCAACAAATTTAAGAGTCCAAACTAACAATAAGGTATAAAAAGATGTAAATGTTTCTGTCAAAGTTTAATATTATATCTTGATTAAACTGAAGAATGTTCATGAGCTCTGTGTTAGTACATTTAGCTTATACATTTTAAACAAGAGAGGCGAGGTGAAGTACATTTTTTATTCTGCATAGTTTATGTACAAAATATCCCCACTTCCCTTGAAAATATCCCCACTTCCTATCATATCTAAAACAAACTCTGATGAACACTTAGTATTGAAACATTTTATAACACTATATAAATTGAACAGAAGGAAACACAAATACATATTCTTCAATTTTTCAAGGCGCTAAGAATATATCACAGCACTGATAATATGAAGAAAAATATTTGGATTCATTTTTAAATTCAAAATTCTTCTTGTTGTTCTTCACTGAGGGGCCTTAGAGGTGAAAAAGTAATCAAGTTACCACCAAAGGAAATGTGTCTGGCGTGATCTGGATGTCTCCTTTCCACTTGAGTGAATATATTACTGCAGTTTAGGCTTGGCTAGAGAATAAATTCAGAGAAGTCACTAAATCACATCTTTCACCAATTAAGTCTTCAACAATGCAATTTAATAGTAGGTTAATTAATAACATAAATAACATGTCTTGTATATAATAATAAAATTATTACTAGCACAATGAATTTGCTTTCTAGTAAATCTAATTTCAATATGTACTTTAATTGAAAAGGTATATTAGGTATATATGCCTGAAAGGTGACTAATATGCAAATGGACTTCAGCAATATATGGAGCATGAATATAATTAAGGCCTTATTTTAAGCCACTTACACAGATGCCACAAGTCCTAATCCACATAACTGTACTTAATAGGCTTTTTACTAATGTGATAATCCTTTTCTTTTGTTCCCCCTTGAGCCCTATTTCAGGTTCAAGTGATGCTACAGACCAAGTAATAACCTGGGTCTAAAAATAGATAGGTGACCTATAAAATATAAAATTAAAAGTCTAAGTTCTAATAGTTATGAAAGAGGAAAAGAATTCACAGGGAGACTAAATTATAAAGTACTAAGATCTACCAACAAGATAATATAGAAGATAGATAACTGTGAAGCACTTTTAATTGTACAATTAGTATAAAATGAAATATGATACATTAATTTCCAGATTTAATTATAATATCATTTATATCAGAACCAAGCATTCAGAGTTCAGATCTGGGAACAAGATTATATCAGGTTTGTATAAACTGGCCTTATGCTGAAATCCCTGACTCTAATATCAAAAAAGCACAGAGTATGGGCCACAGTGATATACTTTATTCTGCTCCTGAGATGCAAGGCAGCCCAGAAGCCTGAACATAAAGAAGGCATCTTTGAAAATAATGAAGGCCAACACATACAGAGGTCCTTAAGGAATTAGTGGCTTAAGGAAGGCAAGTTATTTGCCAGGCTTCATGAGGTTAACAAAAATTATTGTTCTTTTATCCTACATTTGCCTTAATGAATTTTTTATATTCTGAGATCAAAGACTAGCAAACCAAGATCATTTCCTGACCTATTTTAGCAGCTGGCCCTGGAAAATTTCAAGGTAAGTCTATAAACCAGGGTTGTCAACCTGGCTACACATTAGAAGCACCTGAAAAAGGTCCTACTCCAGACTGTTGGAATGAAAATATCTGGGAAAACCAGTGCTATAAACACTTAGTAAGCAAGAGCACACTCTTTCATTCATGCCTCACTGCCAGCATCATGAACATGAATTGGACAGCTCTGCCTAAAGAGGAATTTACAGTTCCTAAGGGAAATAGATTCCCAAAATTATAATCCATTTCATGAATGTAATATATTCATATCATACTACTAATAAGAGATTAAATGTGTGCATTGTACACCTATATCTATATATAAATCAATAGGAGAGAGATGAGAGATTTTCCAGGAAGTCCTTACAGAAGGGCTAAATGTTTGAACTAGATGTAGAGGTAAGAGGTCAGCAAAAATAGAATAGTAGGACATAAATACAGTAATCTGAAAGAATTAAAATGAAAACAGCCAATGATGAATGAAAGTAGGATAGACATTATCTTCCCAACTGTACATTTCTAAAGGCAGAAACCTTGCCTTATTTTCTCTTGCATCACTTAGAAACACCCAGCATAAGCCAAGCTACATATTGGATATATAAGTATTAAACCAATTTGTTGTAACAAATTTGAAACAAATTTTTTTTTTAATGTTTTATTTATTTCTAGGAGAGAGAGAGAGAGAGAGACAGACAGCGTGAGCAGGGGAGGGTCAGAGAGAGAGGGAGTCACAGACTGAAACAGGCTCCAGGCTCTGAGCTGGCAGTGAGCACAGAGCCCGACGCGGGGCTCGAACCCACGAACCGCGAGATCATGACCTAAGTGAAAGTCAGACGCCCAACCGACTAAGCCACCCAGGCGCCCCAAATTTGAAACAAATTTAAAAATTTAATTTTTTTGGGAAATAAATCTTCAGAATTTAGTATTAAAGTATGCTATATTTTAAAGTATATAAACATGAATAACAAATGGATTTCACAATATATGAAACAAAAACATGTAAATTTTAAACCAACTTTGTACACGTACTGAAAAGTGAGTAGTATCATTTTATAAAACAAATCTAGAATATAAAGGAATTTTTCAAATTAAGTTGTAAAACTTACCGAATCAAGAAGATGGCATTCAGTAGTGAGACTTTTAGTATCAAATAGTACTGAAAAACAAAAAATAATTTTTAACTTTTTAAAGAATATCCTCACAGTCAAGGCAAAAAGTTCCATATATGAAATGCTATGACAAAAACATAGGTCATCTTACGCTACAGCATTTTTAGTTTTATTTATTTTTTCTTCTTATTATTTTTTTTAAATTTATTTCTAAGAGAGAGAGAAAGACAGCGCGAGAAGGGGAGGGTCAGAGAGAGGGAGTCACAGACTGAAACAGCCTCCAGGCTCTGAGCTGGCAGTCAGCACAGAGCCCGACGCGGGGCTCGAACTCACGAACCGCGAGATCATGACCTAAGTGAAAGTCGGACGCTTAACCGACTAAGCCACCCAGGCGCCCCTATTTATTTTTTCTTAATATTTATTTATTTTTGAGAGAGAGAGACACACACACAACATGAGTGGGGGAGGGGCAGAGAGAGAGAGAGAGGGAGACACAGAATCTGAAGCAGGCTCCAGGCCCTGAGCTGTCAGCACAAAGCCTGATATGGGGCTCGAACTCACGAACCGTGAGATCATATAACCTGAACTGCAGTTGGATGCTTAACCAATTAAGCCACCCAGGAGCCCCAGTGCTATGGTATTTTTAAAAATGTACTTAAATTTTTTAGTAAAATTCTTATTCTTAAATTCAGCAGAGAGTCTTCTACAAACAAATCTCATGCTTGTGATATTAAAGATACCACTAAGTGTCCAGGTTGGTGAATATGTGGAGATTTGGGGAAAGTGGTACATTTGGAGGGCGTAGAAGCTTTGTACCCTTTCCCCATACCTTGCCCTATGCATCTCTATCACATGGCTGTTCCTGAGTTACATCGTTTTATAATATAAACAGGTATAAACTAAGGTTGAGGGGGGGAAAAAAAGGTACCCCAAAGATGCTAGATGAAGAACACAGTTGGAGTACATTAAAGTACCAGTGAGTAGCAGATGAAAACAGTAGTGTGATACAAAACTGCAAGAGCCACTTCCTATTGCAGAACAATCATAACAAAGTAGATAGGAAAAAGGCAATACGGAATAAAAAGAGAGGATTCTGAAGAAAGGTTTGAGGATGTGTTGAAAAGGAGGTGAAGTAAAAAAAAAAAAAAAAAAAAAAAAAACTTCAGGGAATTTCTATAATTCTGAGTCTGCACAAACAATGAAGATTCCAAACAGGTCTAATATAAAATGCTACTTATTTTCAACATTAGTTTTTAATAGGTCTACTTCAAAAGGTTTGACGTATAGAGTGGGATTCTACAACACATTCTACAACACAAGGTATTTATTGTGAATGTCCAATTTTTCGACATTTATTCTTAGAAACTTGTACCTTGAAGTATTTACAATAATCTAAGTATTAGTCCAAGTTCATTTATTTAACAATGTGTTATCTAAATATATTTAGAAGACCTCACCTGACTGAGAAAGTTTAGTTTCCTCTTCCTGTAAGATGTTATTTTGTGATGCTATATTTTTTTCAGGGCTGCTCATCAAAACATCCTGTGTTGTCATAGAAGAATTTAGTTTCATTCCTTCTACATCATCTGAAATTTCTTGCTTTTTGTTAGTATTAATATCATCTCTCATTTCACCAGCAGGTAGAGGCAAATTCATTCTCTCACTGGGCAAATGATCCATGTCAAAGTTTATCTTGTTTGTATCCTGGAGGTAAAAAAATGCTTTTACATTTAATTACCAAAGTTGAAAAAAATAAAAAAAGTCGTGTTATTTATTTTTTATTATTGTTTTTAATTATTTATTTATTTTTTATTTTTATCATTATTTATTTATTATTTTATTAAAAATAAAAACAGAAGAATGACATTCAGAACATAGGCTAAAGAACACTGTAAATCCTACTAGGTTGCTTCTCAAACAATTAGTTTAAAACTATTATAGCAATGGTATGATCGAAGGAAACTTTCTCAGCAAGTGTCTACAACACTCTACTTCAGTAACTGGCAAACATTTTATTTGAAAGGCCAGATGATAAGCATTTTAGGTTTTGTGAACCACAGAATCTCTGCCACAACTACTCAGTTCTACTACTGTATTGTCAAAGTAGCCAGATACAATATGTAGGTGTGGCTGTGTTATAATAAAACTTTATTTACAATAATAATCTTGATGTCATTTAAAGAGCAAAAAATGGCACTGTAGTTTAACAAGCCAAAGGTGTTTAAAACATGAATTATCATTTTATATGACTGATTTAGATTTAGATTTTGATTTTCAGAATGGAAATTCTGGGAGTTGTTTGTGGAGTTACTATACATAATGACATAAATTGCTATGTAGATAGCAATGGAATCGGACTTACATAATTTACTTTGATTAAATCTTGTAATCCAGGACACTGAGCATCTTCTATGCTGTTCAAAAAAAAAAAGAAAAAGAAAAAAGCAGCACTGTAATCAGATAATTAAACATATTGCTATCTTTTTACTTGTGTTTTGATATTGTCCCTAATGAATCAAAGATGGAGCCTGGTCCAAGATCAGATTTGGTCCAAACAGGTTAGTTTGGACCACAGCTACAGGCAGGATGGCCACAAAACCCAGAAAGCTCACAGCAGGTTACCATGCTGCTCAGTCCACCAGCAATCTTTTGAACCTCAGCCAAATCCAGAGCTACACATAGACTAGGGAAAGTTAGAATAAAGCCAGCTCCCGGGAGCATGGAACCAACAACTGAGATGTGTACAGTTGGAGTTGGCTACATTTACTTGTTTGCTACAGCATAATATATTACAATCTCAAAGTTCGTAACTTGTACTTCATAGAAATATCGGTCTCAACCTCTTGCAGGTCATTTTTGTTTTAAAAATTCTATTTTTCTAGTTTTCAACTTCACGTTGCCTTCACTGCACAAAGTTGTTTATGTGTAAGCTGCTCTTTTAGGACTATTTTTGGGAGTTAAGTAAAAAAATTTTTTAAAGAGTACTTGTAATATCACTTAAATACAATCATAGATCTTCTCAGCATAAGATAATAAACTAGAGAGACATATAAAGTAAAGTAACTTGCACTTAAGAAATGACAATAAATTATAACCCAGATTTCTAGAATATTTAGTCCCCCCAAAAGGTTAAATATACCTTGGTTTATACTAAAAATTAGAAATCTTAAAATTTGTTTCATAAAATATTTAAAAGCAAACACTTTCATTTGTTTCCTCTATTTTGATTCATAGGGTGTTTTTTATTTTTTTGAAAGACTTCTCTGCTGTGATGACTAAGTATTCAATGCTATCCCACTCCAGATTAGTAATAAATCCAATAGTCCTCTCTTGGCTCCAGACTATAGTTTTATTTCCTACTTATCTTAAAGTATCTTTTTTCCTATCAGGATTCTAGTATCTTTATGTTCCACGAACAAGGACTATACAGATAATGTTGATGCATTTGTAGCAGAAAGAATATAGGCAGCATCCAATTTTACCAATTATAAGCTGAATTTGGGCAAGTTACTAACTTCTCAAGTTCTCACACTTGAAAAATGGGGACCTAATACCTCACAGGGTTGTCCTGAGGATTAAATGAGATAATACATGTTAAATAACCTAGAACCATGTCTAGCCCATAATTCTTCAGTACACACTAGCTCTCCCTTATTTATGCTCTGTTATCTGTCAAGATAGCAATCTCAAGGTACTTTCTATAGAGGCTGGAACAAAAGTGCCTACCTCTCAAGGACCCTGTAGGGAGGCGTCAAACGCTGCTGTTTTGTAAATGATGAAGATGAAACTAAGTGAGTTAAACTTGTCTCAGAGTTTCACAACTAGTATGTATGCCATAAAGCTGGTTTTGAGCTCAGTACTAATAAAGCACCAAAGTCACAATGTGTTTAATGTCAAAGGACAGTGTACTGCTTCTTTTCTTCTTAGGTCTACAGAATTTATTCTGTCCATCTAAATAGAACCAATTATCTATCAGAAATTGTAAGCCTTAGGGGCATCTAGGTGGCTCAGTCGGTTAAGCGTCCGACTTCGGCTCAGGTCATGATCTCGCAGTTCGTGGGTTCGATCCCTGCGTCGAGTTCTGTGCTGACAGCTCAGAGCCTGGAGCCAGTTTCAGATTTTGAGTGTGTCTCTCTCTGCCCCTTCCCCACTCATCCTCTGTCTCTCTGTCTCAAAAATAAGTGAACTATTAAAAAAAAAAAGAAATTGTAAGGCTTAGTTCCCTCATGTAGGAAACAGAAGTATTTTCTATATGTTACAGGGTCATTGTGAAATCTAATAAAAAATATAGGTCTGGCATATTTTACCAGGTTAACAATCTGAAATGATATTTAATGTCAGCCTCCGTTATACTCTTGATAATAACACACGAAAGAAATACCTGTTTGTAGGAATAGTTGACAGCAAAATTTCCTTATCAACGTGTCCACATTTGGTACCTGGAGGATCAGGATTCTGTGGTGACACAGTCTGTCTCAGAACACCCGCCTCAGCCCTGCTCTCAGACACAGCTTTGCTGACAGACTTAGGGGTCCTGAATCTTTGAGAAAGACGTTCAGAAGAGATAGAAAGTCCTAGAAGATGAAGGAAATCATCTCAATGTCAAATTCCTTCATTCACTTTTCATTATAACAAGGAAGACAGAGCAAGTTCTTCCTATTAACCCTTCCATCTAGCCGCCTTCTCCCGTAAAATGTTTGTTAAAGACAAATGCCTGTGGCTTTCAGTTAAAGATAGTATCCAGCACACACGTTAGATTCTGTTTCCTCCTATCTCAATAGTCGACACAGTAACAGAGATCGTCTTAAAAGGCAGAATGTCATAAGGACAAAGAGTCTTTTTTTTTTTTTTTTAAACTCAGTAGCTTTTTAAACTTGAAATACAATTTTCCAGGACAAAGAGAATTAAAAGAGAGACAATAATAGCCAGAAACATTTGGAAGCTGTAATGTAGATGAGTGAGTAGGCTATTACTTACTAGACCCATGAAAATAAATCCTAAGTCAGTCAGGAAAGAGGAGAATCAACCCAATTTATACCATAGCACCCCTCTAAAAAACTGGTGGCCTCAAGTATCTCTGGAAGCAGAGATGAAAGTGGAGATAAAAACAAGAAGAGCAAACAGTTTAAAGAACAAATGGAGCCCTTTCCTTATTCTGCACAGGTAGTCAACACGCTCCTGGCCACTACCCGAATCAGAAAACGAGGCTTATTTCCTAAGAAAGGTGGAACAGAAGGCTTCTGACTTAGGGGATACCAGGTAAGGTTGAGATGGGGACTATCTGGAAAAAGGAGATTCAGTGAGGATTTACAAACTGTTGAGGCATTCAGTTTTTTCTCCCACGTGGCCCCTGAAAGGCTGGGAGCCAAAATTATAGCCTCTAGGCAGCAGACTGAAAGAATCTTCTCTGGGGAATCTGACTAGCGTATGAGAACAGACTTCAACATAGTGACGTGTAGGGTCCCAGCGCTATGGCACAGCTAAATTGCCCCACAGTTAAGAACCCAGCACACACGTACTCTGTGCAGAGACCTGCTCTTAACCACAAGCAGGCAGTCAAGGATTTCCAGACACTCACAGAAAGCCTCTAATACAGAGATGGAAACCAAAACCAAATAGGCAATGGGCGCCTGGGTGGCTCAGTTGGTTGGGCATCCGATTTTGGCTCAGGTCATGATCTCGTGGTTCTGGGTTAAAGCCCTGCGTCAGGCTCTGTGCTGACAGCTCAGAGCCCCGGGGCCTGTTTCAGATTCCTCTCTCTCTGCCCCTCCCCACCCCCCAAAATAAACATTAAAAAAAACAAACAAACAGGCAAAAGTATCTTAGAACAAATGCTGACTCTACAGGAGAACGAAAACATAAAAGCTATCATTAACATCCTCAGAAAGGTAAGACAGTGCACTTACCAAACCAGTATAGAATGTTAAAAAATGGAATACTCTAAGAATGAGAAAGAGCTTTTGGGAATTTAAAATCATGAGAGGAAAACAAAACAAAGCACACCATAAAAGCCAACATGAAAGTTGAGGAAATCCAGGAAGTAGAAAATGGCAAGTACAGGAAAAATTATAAAAATAGCCTATTTACCAGGAAGAAAATAAAATAGGTATTTCTGAAAGAAAGATCCAAGATAACCAAGGAGAGTAAATCATAGGAATAATTCAAGAAAAAAAAAATCTATATGTTGTTCAGAGAGAGGGCCTCAAACAACTCAAGACTCTGAAACTCCTATAAAAGAACTGAAAGTGGTTGTGTCTAGGGAGAAAAAAATGGATGCGAGGGGCTTCTTGGGGGGCTTCTGTTCTGTAACAGGCCTCATCTGAACTCTGCTCTGTAACTAAAACTCAACTTTAACAAGATAGTGTTGGGCCATAAACTTTAGTCTCTTCAGTCAGAAGTGCCACACTGGGTCCATGAAGGAACAGATAGTGAAGAGTTCATAGTAATGGAAACAGTAGGATCCTTGGGAAATTAGCGGCAAGGAGCCATGTTACTACCAGGAGGCGATTCCTGGGTAGAAGTAAAGCTGCGTAAAGGAAACAAGCCAGGCCACACCAGGTGTGATACCTAAATTGACATGAGATTATAATATACTTGAGGTGATAAATTTACATTTAATGTAAATACCAGATAGCAGCTCAAGTTTATTTTCAGAAAACTTCCCCGTGGACACAGTTAAATAGGGAAAAAACATCCCTTCAGCTGTTTAGTACCTGAAGAGAACTTGGCCCCTTTCTCCTTGAAAACAAACATCTATGGGCACCTGGGTGGTTCAGTCAGTTAAGCAGCCAACTCTTGGTTTCAGCTCTGGTCATGACCTCAGGGTTGTGGAATCAAGCCTCATTTAGGGCTCTGCACTGACAGTGAGGGGCCAGCTTGGGATTCCCTCTCTCTCTCTCTCTGCTCTTCCCTTGCTCTCTCTCTTTCTCTCTTTCAAAATAAATACATAAAAAAAATACATAAACATTAAAAACAAAAAAGAAAAAGAAAACAAACATCTAGCACTTTAAGCATTGATACAAGTTTCTACTGAGATTTACAGATTACTTCAGCTATGACCTCTCATTACATGACTTAAAAATAATTTCAATCCAGATATATAAATCAGTCTAATAAAGATAGCCTATCTGGGGTGCATGGATGCCTCAATCAGTTGAGCAACTGACTCTTGATTTAAGCTCAGGTCATGATCTCACAGCTAGTAAGTTTGAGCCCTGCGTTGGGATTCTTCTCTCTGAACCCTTCTCTCTGTCCCTCCCCTGCTCATGCCCTCTTTCTCTCTCTTTCTCAAAATAAATAAGTAAACTTAAAAAAAAAAGTTTAAAGATAGCATATGAAAAATAGGTATTGGGGGCACCTCGGTGGCTCAGTCAGTTGACTGACTTGACTCTTGATTTTGGCTCAGGTCATGATCTCACAGTTCATGAGTTTAAGCTGCACTGTCAATGTGGAGCCTGCTTGGAATTCTCTCTCTCTCCCTCTCTCTCTGCCCCTCCCCGACTCACATGAGCATGCTCTCTCACTCTCTCTCAAATATACACAAAACCTTAAAGAAAAATAGCTATTAAAAAATCATAAGAAAGAAAATCATATGATCAGAATTAGAAATCAGAAAATCATAAGAAGAATGATTTCCTAAAGTATTAAAAGCTGGCTTCACTGGAATGGTTTTAAATTAGGAAATTAGTACATTTATGGTATTTCATAAAACCTGAGCAAAAGTTAATACAAATGAAAATTAAGCCAAACCCACTTTCCATTAGCTTCCTTTTAAAGTACAACTAAAGAAGTGTGATGATTTGATGCCTAAAATACTTTGCATCTTAAGTTCTAACTAACTAACCTGAAGAAAATCATCTAACTCCTCATGTTTCCATCATGTCCCTTACCCTTGGGATCCTGTGACCTACCCCACAGGATTGTGGGATTAAGTGGTAATAACTGATGTGAAGTCACTTAGGAGACACAAAAGCCATATTAGAAGATCGATCACACTTAATGTAATCTAATCACACACCACAACATGCCTTTCATGTGTTTGTGAGGGTATAGTCTATCTTCCAGACCCGCAGAGGGTTTATAGGCCTTCATGTGAAAACTATTTTTCACCTCTTATACAAGCTCCTATTCAACCCAAATATTTCCCTCAAGGAGTCTTAGCAGAAAAACTAACCTGAGAAGGATTTAATGGGACTTTCAATTCTGAAAAATCCAGCATCAAACACTATTTTATCAACTTCTTTTGGTGTCACAGAGGCTGCTGCCTCTGCATGTTCTTCCTGCTTCATTCTCTCTCTCATTGCATTTTTTATGGCAGCGAGGCGATTTCTGGCTGCAATTCTTCCATCATCCTGTTTGGGTTTACTTGCTACACCTGAGACAACTTTTTTCTGGAAAGAGACATTATGACATTTATTAAAGCTACTCATTATCATCTTATAAGAAAATCAAAGCATCCATTGATATTTAACACATTTGGGGCGCCTGAGTGGCTCAGTCGGTTGGGTGTCCAACTCTTGATTTTGGATGAGGTCACAATCTCACAGTTTGTGGTTCGAGCCTCAATGGGGCTCTGTACTGACACTGAGGAGACTGCTTGGGATTCCCTCTTTCTCCCTCTCTTCGTCCCTCCCCAGTTCATGAGCACACACTTTCTCTCTCAAAATAAACAAACAAACAAAAATGTCTTTAGAAATATTTAGCATAGTCATCATATACTTATAAGGTTCCTCGTATGTGCTAAAAATACCCGGGGTCAAAAGGTAAAAGGACAAAGTCCCTGCCTTCGAGGAGCTCTACAGCTTAGGGGAAGGGCTAGAGATGGACATTAAGAAGAGTAAGTGTCACGATACAGATAAAATCAGACAACTATAAGAGAATACCAGGCTATCGCCTAAATTAATCCTCAGAGTCATCCAGAAAGGCTTATAAGAAGTAGCACTGAGCTGGAATTACAGTTGGCCAGGCTACAAGACGGGGTGAGGAAAGGGCTGGAACATACAAATAACAGCATGTTTGCAAAGCCAGAAGTGAAAGAAAGAAGAGCAGAGCTGGGAGGAGGTGACAACAGCTAGATTTAAAATCCCTTGTATGTAACCATATTAAGGAGCCACATTTATAGAGAGGACAAAGGAATACAGCTTATTGATGACTTCTAATCAGGAGATTAACATTATCGGCTTTGTGTTTCTAAAGGTCATTCTGTCTATAGCCTGGAGAAGGGAGAATGGACAACTTTTCCAGGAAGCTTATCTGTGATTGGGAGATGGGAACATGACAAGTTTAGAGTTTTTTTGTTTTTTTTTTTAAATGTAAGCAAAGCTAAGACCCTTAAACATGTCTAAAAACTGATGGAAAGAGAGGGGAAGAGAGGAAAAAAAAGACTAACTGGTGTAATGACAGATCGATGAATAAGAAGTTAGAAGGAAGAGGATCAAAGTATAGGCAATAATTTTATTTTATTTGTTTGATAATCTTAATAGTAGCCTGCAAAATAAAGTAAGAGGAGAGAGACACCTGGTGATAAGGGACAGAATTACAAGGCTCTGATATAATGCTATACTGACACAGCCAATCTGCAGCACTGATGATGTTAACGTTCCCAGGACTGAGTACTCAATAAGAAATACCCAAGGTAGCTCCAAAATGTCCCAGCATTCTTCACTTTTTAGTAGATCTGAAATTCATTCCATTAATTTAGTAACCATCCTCAGGGTCCTTGTCATAAGACTTCATTAGTAAAATAATTTTGTAATGGATTCTTTAAAATTTTTATTTATTTATTTTTGAGAGAGACAGTTCACATGCACGTGTGTGAGCACGAGCAGGGGAGGGGCAGAGAGAAAGGGAGAGAGGAGAATCCCAAGTAGTTTCCATACTCAGCTCGGAGTCTGACAGGACTTGATCTCATGGCCATGAGACCTGAGCTGAAATTAAGAGTTGGACACTTAACTGATTGAGCCATCCAGGCACCCCTGTAATAGGTTTTTAATACTGTACCATCTTAAGTTCCTAAGATAGGATTTAAAACAGATATTTTATTTGGATTACATAAGAATAAAGTACTAATTCAGAAACCTGATTCGATAATCAAAGGTATTCTTCTAAAATATAAAGAGGGGCACCTGGATGGCCCAGTTGTTTAAGCATCTGACTCTTGATTTTGGCTCAGGTCATGATCTCATGGTGGTGAGATAGAGCCCTTCATTGGGCTCTGCACTGGGCATAGAGACTGCTTGGGATTCTCTCTCCCTCTTACCCTATCCCTTCCCCGCCTGTGCATGTGTGCATGTGCATGCTCTCTCTCAAAAATAAATAAATAAATAAAAATAAAATATAAAGAAACACTGATAATGCCCTAAGGTGATTTGAGAAGTATCCATTTAACCAGAAACTTTAAGTTCAAAAGATTACTAGAAAAAAAAAGTACTACAAATAGAGAAGAATGGAATCTTTCAAGTTAACAAAGCAAATTTTAGAAAAAATAGGGAAATTTACAAGATAAACCACAGGGAAGAAGACAGATATTCTAAAGAGCCATTGTCCCTCTTTGCTATTTAAAAACTATTTCATTTTGAAATAGATCACACAAAAGAGTATATAAAAACAAAGAGGTGACATAGACTACTGATTAAGAACATGGATTCTGGAAAGAGAATGTCTGGCCTTGAAACACAGCTCCACATTTGGCAAGTGGTTTAATCTTTGTGGACGTTAAGGTTCCTAACGTAAGGTTGCTTGGGGAGAACAGAACCCACGTCACAGGACTGTTGTGATGATTAAATGAGTTTATACACGTAAAATACATAGAACAATACTTGGCACACACTAAGCATTATATCAATTATGTAGTACTCCTGTTATTAATACAACAAAACGGATGTGTACAGTTTGAAGTGTAAAACAAACAGGGTTTCCTGGGTGGCTCATTTGGTTGAGCGGCCTACTTTCAATTTCAGCTCAGGTCATGATCTCACAGTATGTGAGTTCAAGCCCTGCATCTGGCTCTGTGCTGACAGTGAGGACCCTACCTGGGATTCTCTCTCCTCCTCTCTCTGCCCCTTCCCCACTCATGCTCTCTTGCTCTTTCTCTCAAAAAATAAGCTTTAAAAGTATATTAAACAAGCAACAAACACACACAGACCTGCTACCTGGTAACTTAGAAGCGCTTCCCCATTCAACTATAGCCCCTACCTCCCTCCCTCCAGAAAGAATTTAGTGGTTAGCTGAATTTAAGAATTTACCTAGTTTAGAATTTGGCTGAATTTCATTCTTTCTTCAAAAGCGATCTGGACATTGGATTTAATCTATGGAACTTTATTGGTAAAAAGATGAAAAATCTGAAGCTAAATGTTTTTAAAGCCTAAAAATAAAAATTCATTAAAGTAGAAGAATCTATATTAGAAATTTGGAAATAAAACCCACAAACTTACCCGAAAGATTTTTTTGTTTGTATTATTATTGTTCTGCCATCCAGACTCCTCAAGTTTAGTCAAATTGTTGAATTTTTGGTTTACATCTTCTATCTGTTAATAAACAAAGCACATGTTTATCAGATTAATGCTAACCATATTAAAATGAAAAACTAATGAGCTGAAGCTTCAAAAAATTTGAGAATGGTGAGTTGGACTGACGGCATATAAAATTAGACTAAGTCATTCTCAATTAAATATTCAAATTAAGAATTCTCATGGTAAAATTGTTATTTTTTGTTTTTACGAACTTCCATAATATACAGAAAAGTTGTCAAATATAAAGAACCCTCTTAATTTATTTTTGGCCATTAAAATGTAGGAGAGATATCTTAGGTGTTTTTGTTTCCTAAATTATACAACGTGAACATAATATGTCTTTTTTTTTTTAACACAATGTCTTTTGCAAATATTTCTCAGTCCGTGGCTTGCCTTCTCATTGTCTTGACACAATCCCATTTTAAGATTCATGTAATACACCTACTAGCAGAATGAGAATGTAGGATCCTTATCCTTCTGGTATGGTTCTCATCTCAACTAGTTATCTAAAGTGGTGCCTTCTGTCCACCACTTTAGGGAAGATCAGAACAAGCCTTCCCACATTCCAGTCAAGGCTTACATTCTTACATTAACCTCCACGGGGCCTAGACGACATAGCCCCAAGAGAGGTTACTGTACAGGCATGGGCAAGATGGAGGGCCAAAGATGGAGTCAGTATTGTCAGTGTATGATCCTCATCTTTCTGGCACTTCCAGTCTCCTCCAAAGAAGTAACCACTGTCAATAATTTAGTAAACATGCTTCATACCCCCTACTATGCATTTGTACATATGCGTGCTCTCAATTTCTCTCTCCTTAAAAAATCTAAATGTCAAAAGGACTCAGGATTACACTAGGACCAACTGATGTTCAACAATGTGTCCATGCAATCCAATGAGGAAAGGATAGTCTTTTCAACAACAGTGCTGGGAAAATTGGATATCCACAAGAAGAAAGATGAATTTATAAACTCTTACTTATACCGTACACAAAAACGAACTCCAAATGAATCATATACCTAACTGTAGAGTTAGAACTACAACACTCTTAGAAGAAAACATAAGAAAATCTTTGTGAGCTGACATTTGCCAAAGAGTTCTTAGACATGGTATCAAAAATCACATAGAAGAAAAAAGTTGATAAAATGAATATCATCAAAATTAAAAACACACTTCAAAAGACACCATTAAGAAAATTAAGACAAGCTACAAATTGGGGGAAAAGATTTGCAGAAAACATTTCTGATTAAAGAGTCATTTCCAGGGGCGCCTGGGTGGCTTAGTCGGTTAAGCGTCCGACTTTCGCTTAGGTCATAATCTCGCGGTTCGTGGGTTTGAGCCCCGCGTCAGGCTCTGTGCTGACTACCAGCTCAGAGCCTGGAGCCTGTTTCAGTCTGTGACTCCCTCTCTCTCTGACCCTCCCCTGCTCACGCTGTCTCTCTCTCTCTCTCTCTCCTAGAAATAAAAAACATTTAAAAAAAAAAAAAAAGTCATTTCCAGAATACATAAAGAACACTTACAACTCAATTATAAAAAGACAAACCCAATTTAAAAATGGCCAAAAGATTTGAATACAAATTTCACCAAAGAAGACATTTAAATGACTAAACACATGAAAAGATAATTATCATAATTTGTTAGGGAAATGCGAATCAAAACTACAACAAATACTTTGTCCCCACTAGGATGGCTCTACTAGACAGACAATAACAAGTACTAGTGAGGATGTGGAGATGTAGGAAAACTCATACAATTGTTGATGGGAAAGTAAAATATTACAATCGCTTTGGGAAACAGTATGGCAGTTTCTTAAAAGTTAAACATGAATTTACTCTATGTCCCAGCAATATCTAGATATTTATCCCAAGAAAAATGAAAACTAATGTCCACACTAAGATTTGTATGTGCATATTCACAGAAGATTATTCATAATCACCAAAGCAGAAACAATCCAAGTGTCCTTCAACTGGTGAATAGAGAGTGGCATATTTACTCAATGAACTACTACTCAGCAATGTAAAGGAACGAAGTACAGATATGTCCTACCACATGAAAGAACCTCAAAAACATCAGGCTAAGTGAAAGAAACCACGTATGAAAGACTACATATTGTATTATTTTACTTAATATGAAGTGTCCAGAAAAGACAAATCCACAGAGTAAGTTGCTTGGGGCTGGGAGTAGGAATGGGGATTCACTTGCATACAGGCAAGAAAGGTCTTTTTATGAAAATATTCTACACTTGGATTATGGCCACGATTGCACAACTCTGCAAATTCACTGAAAATGACTGAATTCAGAGCTGGTAAGGTTTAGGATATTAAACTTCAGAACAGTCTTAAAGGAAAAAAAAAAAAAAAAAAAAGGTCCCAGGAGCCAACTTTAAAGAGGCTCCCAATGGCCAAAGCTGGGAAATGAGCATCAACAGACACTAAATGTAAACAATATAAACACATTAAATACCTTCAAATCTATCATTTATTAATACTAAAAACAAAATTAATTGGTCACCACTGAAGGATGCTAGTAAAACAACTCCTTATGAAAACTGGCAAATATATGAAAACTGGTCATAAAGCAATACTTAACATCACCATGACTACCTAAACACTATTCACATCAGGGCCATAGCAATGCAGATTATCTTCCCTTCACTTTTTCTCTACTCTGAATACTGTTTTGCTTTTCATTTGCTTGGTTTTTATGTATCTATCATCAATTCACCTCTAAATTCTGTATAAACCTCCTCTGACTACAATTTAAAAAGCAAACGGCAGGGGTGCCTGGGTGGCTTAGTCCGTTAAGCGTCCAACTTTCGCTTAGGTCATGATCTCGCGGTTCGTGGGTTCGAGCCCCGCATCAGGCTCTGTGCTCACTGCCAGCTCAGAGCCTGGAGCCTGTTTCAGTCTGTGACTCTCTCTCTCTGACCCTCCCCTGCTCACGCTGTCTCTCTCTCTCTCTCCTAGATATAAATAAAACATTAAAAAAAAAAAAAAAAAGACTTGCTTTCTCTCTCTGGATGCTTCTGGATTTTTCTCTCCATCCCCAAAGTTGTACAATCACATTTAATAATGTGCATTGGTGTGGGTTTACTCTGATTCACAATGCTAGGCACTCAATGACCTCCTTTGATCTGGAATTCAGGTGCTCCAGGTTGGGAAAACATTTCAACTATTTCATTGATTGATTCCTCTCCACTATTTTTTCTGTTCTCTTTATCTGGAATTATATATTTCCTAGACTGGTCTACTTAATCTTCTTATCTATCTTATTCAATCTCTCCTACTTTACATCTCTCTTTGCTCTATTTTATCTTTTGCTCTATTCCATCTTTCTACTGAATTTACATTTCTGCTCTCACAGTTTCTAACTTCAAAGAGCAATTTTTGTTTTCTGAATGTTCTTTTCTTAATAGCTGTTCTTAATTGACAGATGAAATGTCTGGTCCCTTTGAGAATATTAACACTTGCAGGTAAAAGTTCTCTTCTCCTTGTATTATCATCATTTCCTCCATCCAGAAAGTTTTCTACCGGAGTCTGCTTTGACTTCCTTTTTTTTTTTTTTTTTCAAACTTGAGGTTTTCCTCAAATGTCTAATGATTTTTGGTTACTGGTTCCTGAACTAGTATTTTGTTATGTTCATCTATAAAACAAGTCAAGAAGCTAGAAAGTGTCATGTCCTCTCAAGCTTTTCCTGATCTTCCTAATGATTCCCTCTATTAGAGCACTTTGTACATTAGATTGGAATTATATGTTGTGTCTGACTCACTGATAAACTACAAGCTTCTCTAGGAGAGAGAATGTGCCTTATTTTTCAACTTCTGGTATAATATCTGGCACACAGTGAGAACTCAACAACTGCTAGATGATCTGAATTAGTAAAGACAAGATTTGCTCATTTTTCTCAAGTGCAGAATCATTATGGTCTGTACAACAGTTGAATAAAATGTCTCAATTTCCAAACCATCCAGAAACCATCCTGACAACACAAGGAAGAAGTAGACATCAGTTATAAAATTTAGACAGTATTTAAAATTTTTCTTAATGTTTATTATTGAGAGAGAGAGAGAGCGCGCAAGAGTGAGCATGAATGGGGAGGGGCAGAGAGAGAGGGAGACACAGGATCCAAACCAGGCTCCAGGTTCTGAGCTGTCAGCACAGAGCTCGACATATGGCTCAAACTCATGAACTGCGACATCATGACCTGGGCCGAAGTCAGATGCCCAACAGACTGAGCCACCCAGGCACCCCTAGACAGTACTTTACAGTTTATAAAGATGCTACCTAATATCTCATTTAACATTACCGGTACCTAAAAAGCATCTCCATTACTCCCATTATTGTTAACTTTTTTTTTTTTTTTTTTTTAGGGTTTATTCATTTTTGAGATCCAGAAAGACATAGTCCAAGTGGGGAAGGGCTAGAGAAAGAGGGAGACAAAAGAATCCTGAGCAGGCTCCAGGCTCCAAGTTGTCAGCATAGAATGCAACATGGGGTTTGAACTCACAAACCGTGAGATCATGACCTGAGCTGAAATCAGATGCTTAACCAACTGAGCTAACTAGGCACCCCTAACCTCATTTTTTAAATCTCATTAAAAAAATTTGTTTTTAAACATTTATTCATTTTTGAGAGTGAGAGAGACAGAGCATGAGTTAGGGAGGGGCAGAGACAGTGGGAAACACAGAATCAGAAGTGGGCTCCAGGCTCTGAGCTGTCAGCACAGAGCCTGCGTGCAGCTCAAACTCATGGACTGTGAGATCATGACCTGAGCTGAGATCAGACATTCAACCAGCTGAGCTATCCAGATGCCCCGTTTAATCCCATTTTTTTTTTAATGTTTATTTCATTTTTGAGAGAGAGAGAGAGATAGCACAAGCAGAGGAGGGCCAGAAAAAGAAGGGGACAGAGGATCCAAAGCAGGCTCAGTGCTAACAGCAGAGGAGCCCGATGCAGGGCTCGAACTCATGAACTGCCAGATCATGACCTGAGCCAAAGTCGGACACTCAGCCGACTGAGCCACCCAGGTGCCCCAAACCTCATTTTCCAAAAGACCAGGCTCAGAGTTAATACACTGAAAAGGCTTGACCACGTACCTGAAAACTAACCATATCCCAAAATCCATCCAGATCTGTACAGGTCGTCTCCTTCTCACCTCGCTTGTATTCACAATTGTCCACCAGCCCTTCAAACTGCTTGAACCTTTCTTTCATAAGGAGTCTTGTTTGCCCAACTGCTGTGCGAATAAGATCTTTAGCTAGCAGAAAGATGAGGTTTTTAAAAGTTAAAAGACAAAAAATTGGACCTATATTGTCAGCCTACCAATTGATAAGAAGACCTCACCATAAATATCAAAATTTTTACCTTACAAAACAGGACTACAAAACTGTCTTACAAATACTGAGCATTAACTGGATGCTTCAATTTCTGTTAAAAATCAGCAATTTTCATTCTCATACATACTGTTGCACAATAAATAGCATTCTACCTCTCCTTGTATTTAATAAGAATTCAATCTCAAACACATCAGTATCCACAAAGGACTTCACATTGACAGAACACAAATGATTTTTTTCTAAACAGCTTCCCCAAATAAGTCAAATTAAGGTATTTTTCTGAAAATCTGTTCTACATTGATTTAGGTCATTTTCATTCAGAAAATATTTTTGTTTAATTAAACAATACAAATTACAGATGTCACTCATAGTTATATCAAAAATATCTAATAACAAGCAAATGTCTAATTTTCAGGAATAATCAATATTCTAATTACTTCTATCTTTTAAGCCATGTACCATTTTAGCATAGATGTTAGCAAACATATGTTGAGATATAAAAAATTCTTGTTGCTTTGAATAACAATGTAACTATGAGGTCAGACAACACTAGATCTTAATTTTCAGATAAATGTAACTATATTTAAAAAAACAAAAGTAAAACATTAAAAAAATATAAACGTTCCCTCACCATCATCTGGAATGTCCAATTCAAGCTTCCTGTCCCACTCTAGACAGTGCGAAGTTAATTTCTCAGTTTCTGACTGAAGAATATTTCTAAAATTATGACATAGATTTGTTTTACAAATGATTCTCATACTAAATCTAAGTATTTTCATTAGGACACACATAACATTAGGAAGGTATAAAAGACAGGCACAATGTTAATTTCTCAGAGTTGATGCTGATTTTATGAACTGTGTTTTATTAAAATCCATAAATACAAGCTGATACCCTATGTCCATCTTTCTACACCTAAAACTTATGCAAATGGACTACTGCTAAGAGCCACTTTTCCCACTACACTATTATTTCCAACTTCTTCTACTCTTAATTTTCAGAGGCTTTACAGAAAGAATCAGATGTTCTTTACTTCTGTTATTAGTTCTCTGTTACTGCCCATGGAATAAAGACCAACTCAACTTTCAAGAGTAAGTAGAAGTAACCACTGTAAGTATGGAATTACAGTGATAAAGCCGTACAGGTTCTCTATAGTTAGTAGGCTTTGCTTGCCACTCCAAAGGCAGTGGTTCTCAACAGCAGTCAATTTTGTCCCCCTGGACATATGTGACAATGTCTAGAGGCATTTCTGTGTCTTGAAGTGGAGGGGCACTACTGGCCAAGGATGTTACCAAACAATCTAGAATGCAGAAGATGGTCCCTACAAGAATTATCTAGTCTAACATGTCAATAGTGCCAAGGTTAAGAAACTGACCTAAGGTGAACACAATCTGTTTCTTTATAAAAAGCATCTTAGCAGGAGAAACTGAGGATAGTTTCTATTTCCTAGAAGAAAAATTTAGCTGTTTATATCTAATAGCATGGCAGAGGATGAATTAATTTATGAGAAATGAGACCTGGCTTAGATCTGAAATTATCAAGTTGCGTAAATTGTTCATTGTCTCAAGGTCTCACAGCTGAAAATACAATGGATAGCTAAATCTCTAAAATTCATCACAATTCTAAAATCTCATGCTCTAAAAATAATTGAAGTGGCTTTCAAACATATAAAAAGGTACTTTATATAATAGAATAAATAAATATTAAAGCTCCAGCAAAATAGTATCTTACCTACTTATCTACTTGATTGGGAAAGCTCAAAAAATTGTTAATCTTGTTTGAAAATGGTATGAGAATGTTCTTGCTACATTTTCTCAAGAGAAACAGCATATATAAAAGCATGTATGTGTGCATGCCTTCATGTGGATTATAGTTTGGAAACTGAATACTGACTGGATATTTTATAAGATTAAGTAATTATTATGATTATGTTAAGCACAATAAATATTATGGTAATATTAACATGAGTTTTCAACTTTGAAAAATACCTACAGAAATATTAATGGATGAAGTGATATGATTATTTGGGATTTTCTTAAAACATCTTGAGTCAGAAGTATATGGGAATAAATATGAAACAAGATTGACCCTGAGTGATGGATATAAGGGAGCTCAGTGTACTATTCCCTGCACTTTCATAGATGTTATAAATTTTCCACAATAAAAAGTTAAGAAAAAAAAAATAGAAAAGCATGTGATTATTTCCTGTGTGATGTAGAATGTGGGGGGCCTTTCTCCAAATGCAGTCCACTGATTGCAGTCCACTGATTTGTTTCCAAGGTTTGTAAGTGACATGTTTGAGGTTCCCCAAACAGGATGTTAATTTTCACTCTTCACAGTTGGAAAAACACAATCCCACTTTGTGACTTAGTAGGCCAAAGAACTTCCTACCATCTCCCTCTAACCTTCCTTTGTCAAATAAAGGTTCACTCAGTTTCTTTGTGGGGGGAAAAATGTATGAGAAAAATAGGAACTCCCATAACTTGCTGAAGGGAATGTAAATTGAGGTTGTTACGTATTTTCATGTGAGAGAATGGGAAAGCATACAAGGTTGGTCTTTGCAGCCTTTATTGTATTAGTAATAGACTGAACTCAGTGTAAGAAATGAGCAATAGCAATTTGCTACTCAGTAAATCATGGTACATCACATAATTGGATACTATATGGTTATTATACACACACACACAAAACATCACCAACACGAGAAAGCTAAAGTATTAAAATGGAATGTCTCCCACAATGAACATTAAATGAAAGCAGAATAATAACCTATTGTGCATATTAAAAGGGTGAAATATATATATGTTTGTCTACTATGTGTTATCTATCTCTCTGAAAGCTTTCATAAAACATGAGTAACACTTGTCTCCATGGAAGATTAACCATGAGGTTAGGAGACAGTGGAGAAATGGCTTCTCACTTGTACCTTTTCCTACCTTTTGAATTGGGAACCACATGAATTAAAGAACTAGCTACTGAAAGCATAATTAAGTTTTAAAGATAAATGAAAATCAGAGTCTAATTCATCTATTATACAAAGATTGAATTAGTTTTATTTGGGTTTTAAATATCTAGACATTAATGCAAACATTTTACACCAGGAACAAAATGGACAAACCTGAAATACGGCACATCATGTTGTGGCTGAGACACTTGATCTTCATTTATTTCAGGTGACAGGACTTCTTTTATTGGAAGGCCATTTGAATTTTTAGTAGTTTCATCTTTATTTAAGGCATGTTCTACAAAGAAAACACCACATGTAAATTTCAAAGCAGCAGTTTTCTATCATGACACCCCCTACAAAATGACAAAATTTTAGAATTCTTCAATTTTTTCATTGATGAACTTTAACATTTTATTTCTGCTTCAATGATTTCATTTACCACATCTCCTCTAAAGGGTCTTGACACTCTCATCTCTTCAAATTTACACTTCCCCCCTTCACTCAGTCTGCATTCCTCATTCCAGTTCTCTGTCTGGATGTCTTTCCTCAGGTTTCCCATCTCTTCTGACCCTGTGGGGCTCTAAACAAATCTGATAAATCACAGTCCGGAAGGTAAGTAAAAATTTAATTAGAATACCATACCTTTATTGCAAACTGTGAGAGAACCCAAAGGACATGGCAGTTTATTTGAATCTTGATGTACTGTCTTCCCAGAAGAATGTTTACACTTTGGGGCCAGAATTTCTTTTGTTGCTTTTTGCGTTTTAGCACTAAAAGCAATAGCAAAAGAATACTTCATGAAGCACAAACTCCATATATCTAACTGAAGTATTTCAAAATTACATTGCTTTTTAAAAACCTGGGATAAAATAAAAATATGTTTATTTTAAAGTATTTATTTTTGAGAGAGCACAAGCAGGGGAGGGGCAGAGAGAGAGGGACAGAGAATACAAAACGGATCCTGCATGCACTGATAGCAGCAAGCCCCATTAGGGCTCGAACTCACAGACCACAAACTCATGACTGAGTCAAAGTCAGACGCTCAACCGACTAAGCCACCCAGGTGCCCCAACATATTTTTATTTTTAAAACAATAGGTCAATTCTGGAGCAGAAAAATTTAAACATGTATGTAGTGGGAATGTCACTCTTCACTAATTGTAATGAGATCTAAAGATTTTGAAGATCTCTTAATGGAACACACACTTAGCTGTCTCACTGATGCCAGGCAGTTTCTAGTAAATCTGCCAACAGCCAGTCTGCAAAACTGGCTTGCCTTTTCTATTTAATTAAAGAGCCCAACTGATCCCTCTCCCCGCTCGACTTTGCAAGTTAATCAGTTTTTCTAAAGTAATAGTCAGCAAAACAACACAAACAAAAGCCCATGTCTGAGCTACAGAGAGTGAGAGAGCATGGGAGGGACAGAGAGAGAGGGAGACACAGAATCAAAAGCAGGCTCCAGGCTCTGAGCTGTCAGCACAGAGCCTGATGCAGGGCTCAAATTCACAAACCATAAGATCATGACCTGAGCCAAAGTTGGACAATTAACTGATGGAGCCACCCAGGTGCCCCAGTAACTTCTAAAAATTTAATTCTAGGTGTTATAATAAAGTCACTTACTAAAAGAAATAAAATAGAAATTGTACTGTGAAAATAAGGTTAACAACAATGCATAGGAAATATCAAAACTGTCAAATAGATTATTGTAGCCTACTGAAGAATTTTTTAACCAAATTTTCAAGAGTTATGATTAAATTAATTAAATAATAACTTTTAAAAAGCACAGGCCAAATCTAAGAAAGGCATTTGTTACCATCTTAGCAAGGAATTCATTATTAACGTTACATTCTTACACTTCTGTTGTTAAAGAGGTCCAGGTATAACTGGGTGTCAAGAAAGCATTGGCACTTCTGGGAGTCATAGGTGTTACTTGATAGGTCTTCAGACCATCCAACGGCTGAAACATAAAGTCCTGAGGTGCGAAGGAATTCTTTCCTTTCATTTTTGCAGTATTTGTCTTAGGTAAGTTTTCCATTTTTGATAAGACTCCATCTGGATCCATTCCATTTGTTGCACTGATTTGTGAATCCAAAATATTTTCTTCACTATCAAGTTTAAAAGAAATGACCTAGTTGTGAGTAAACAGAATAGAGTGAGAATTCCTCTTCTGGGGATATATTCGACCAATTTTTACAGGCTGAAAACATGATAGTTGAGATCTATGTCTCACGTACATAATTTAAGAGAAAAAAAACAAAGGCTAAGATCCAGAGGGAGATCTAAGATCTAAGAGGGAGAACCAATCTTCATTATAGGAAGAAATAATAGTTTTTAAGTATTACAATAAATTAAAATATATGAAAACTAAAATGGAAAAATTTACTCATCTAACAAATACAAATCTCTTTTTACTTAGATTATGATGATAATTACAATAGCTTGAAAATCAGAAATCCAATGTTTATTAGATGACTACTATTGCCAAGTACCAAATGGTTTTTGTAAATAATCTTGATTATAAATAACCTTGTCATAGGAGCAAAATTACTTTTTAACATTACACAATAAGATAAACCATATAAAATGTAAAGTATATTTTCTTTTTCAAGTCAATGTAATTACTTGTTTTTTTTAATGGAGATATAATTGACACATAACATTATATTAGCTTCAAGTGTATAACATGATTCAATATTTCTATATATTGTAAAATGATCACCACAGTAAGTCTAGTTAACATGTATCACCATACATATTTACAGAATTTTTTTCTTGTGATGAGAACTTTTAAGATCTACTCTAAGCAACTTTCAAATATGCAATACAGTATTATTAACTATAGTCATCATGTGATGGATCCCCAGGACTTATTTCAACCTGGACAAGAATTTAAGGGCGATACTATCCCTGACGCCAACATGGCAGAAAGTAAAAGCCTAGTAATAATCCTTAAAGAGGAAATCAATCTTTTTTTTTAAATAGCTATTGTCAAGTTGGTTTCCATATAACACACAGTGCTCATCCCCACAAGTGCCCTCCTTCATGCCTATCACCCCCCTTCCACTCCCCCCGACCCCTATCAGCCCTCAGTTTGTTCTCAGCATTCAAGAGACTCTCATGGTTTGCCTCCCTCCCTCTCCCCATTTTTCCCCTTCTCCCCCATGGTTCTCCATTAAGTTAAGAGGAAATCAATCTTAAGGGAAGAACATGAGGTCCAGCTGCTTACTCGTGAAGATTCACCCTATACTGTCTACCTGGGAGGATCTAGGTTTGATTTTTATTTATTTATGTTTATTTTTTATTTATTTATTTTTTTAAATTTATTTCTGAGAGAGAGAGAGACAGCGTGAGCAGGGGAGGGTCAGAGAGAGAGGGAGACACAGAATCTGAAACAGGCTCCAAGCTCTGAGTTAGCTGTCAGCACAGAGCCTGACACGGGGCTTGAACCCACCAACCGTGAGATCATGACCTGAGCTGAAGCCGGACGCTTAACCAACTGAGCCATCCAGGCTCCCTTAGGTTTGATTTTTAGTAAGAATCTAGCCAGGTTTCTTACACTTTGGCAAAACTTTTATTTTTAAGGTTAAGGAATTGGAATGTGGCTTGTAAACCAAGTAATCGGACCCTCAAATTGGTGAATCTTTTTTGAAGACTATACTAGCCCCTATGCTAGACACTATCAGAAATGTTAGGCTATTTAATTCTTAAAACTACTCCAAGTAAGTATTGCATGTTAGAGATGGGAAAACAAATCCATAACTTGCCCAAGGTTATCTAGCTAATTGGAAGCAGAGACAATATTCAAACTCATGAAATGAATCCAAAGTCAATACATTTCACCCCACCCCATCTTATCTCTTAGCCAATTCCCATGGGAAGATTTCTGTCAGCTAATGTTATCGTATTTCTCTATCTCCCGTTAACCAAATTATCCTTTCTCTAGCTATAAAGCTCTGAGGATGTAATATCTGAAAGACAACAATAAATCCTCTTCATGCTTCTTTATGGTTTAAGATGTTCTAACACACATATAGGTTAACTCTCTTGAAGCAGCTGTGTATGCTTAATTTCAACTTTATGAAAGTAGCAATGAGGTTTTCAAAGTATCTAGAAATAAACAGATGTTTATACTCTACCTTGTCAGGTTTTGTTTCTATATTTTTGACAGGTCGTCCTTGATTTGGTGCCTTTCTCTCTGTTTCATTATCTAAAATAATAATGTGAAATAAGACAACCATTTTGAATAGACAGAAAATGCTACTGTAAAAGCATTAGGTAATTTTAAAAGGAAAAAAGGCAGCAATAGGAAAGTATATCTTAAAGGATTTTTTTGATTAAGAGTCATACTATAAAATGAGATTAAAAACAGATGACATTTCCTGCCAAGTAAAGGCCATGTGTTTTCAAAACAAAACCAAGTGTTAAGGTAATATACCTTTTGCCTCTGAATATCAAGTACATATTTATTATAGAAAATTAGGAAAATAAAGAAAAGCACAAAAACAACAAAATTAAAAATAACCCAAGATTACATTAGTCAGTAACAATCATTAGTGACACTTCAGTGTATGTTTTTCCAGTTTTATCCTATATTCATATATTCACATACATATTTTAGGGCTGTAATCATACTGTTCAGGATTTGACTGTTTTTCTTTGCCCACTTGATGGATCATGTTCTTTCACAACATTGTTCTTTGACGTTTACACTGTATTCCACCAATGGATGGGCTGTAATTTATTTGGGCCATTAAATTTTCACTTTGAAGCTCTGCTTGTACCAGTTCAGGTACTTCCACCTTTGAGCACCCACTCAAATGCTACCTGGATATCTTGAGGAACTGGAATCTCCTATTTCCTCGTCTCCTACTCAGAGAAGTACATGATGATTTTTAAAACTTAACACAAAAAAACCTCGAAGACCAAAATGTTCTAGATCAGTTAGTCATCAAGGAATAGTTCTTACCATTAGCTCTTGTGACTGGCTTTCTTGTTGTAGATGAAACTGCTCTGGCATTCTGCTTTGCTGCTTGAGTGGCTGATCGAGTCATTCTCACCGATGTGGTCGTTGCAAGCTGTACACCTGTGGGAAAAAATAATCAAATCAAATGCTTTTTGTAATCATTAAATTCCTGTTGTGGCAACATCAGAGCTTATAGTAACTGCTAAATTCCTACCTTTTTTCTCTTTGTCCAACACTTTTCTTTCAGAAGTTTGTCTTTGACCAGGTCGACTTGCTCGAACATCACTCCCGTTATCCATCTATTTAAAAGATTAGTCGCTACGTGACTTAATTGCATAGTGAATCAAATCACCACTTTTTTCCCCCCCGAGGGGTTTTCAAGTCATTTTATTAATCCAATCATAGAAACCCTCCCCCCCACCACCACATCTCTGCAACCCTCACTTTCTTCCAAAATGTTGTGAGAAGGATTGAGCAGACCCACTCCCTCAGGAGCCACTTAACAAAAGGCAGAGATGGGGGTGGGGGGAGACATCACAAAAATAGCAACAGATAAAAGAGGGGAAACAGAACCAGAACACAACAGAAAAACAAGGCAGTCGCGGATGGGGGGAGGAATATGGAACACTTCAGGAATGTGCATGTCATCCTTGCACAGGGGCCATGCTCTTCTTCTCTGTATCGTTCCAATTTTAGTATATGTGCTGCTGAAGCGAGCACTCAATTGCCACATTTTTTATCTCTCAATGACCCTGTCAGCTGAAATCTGACGATTATAAATGATTTGGCAAAAAAAAAATCACTTCCCCAAATAAAATAAGATGAAGAAAAAGCTTTCCATTATATAGACTCCTTTACAGGCTTTTTAAGAATCCTAGACTTTAGAAAATGCTAATAACCTAAGCTATGAAAAATAGCTGACTATAATCTTCTGAGAATCTTTAAATAGGCCAGGCATGTTTTCACTTCAAGACCTTTGAATTATGTCTAGAAAATTCTTCTCCTGGATAAAAAGCTCTTTCCCATAGTTCACTCTTCCATTCCTTACAAGACTTCAGTCAAAATGCCACCATGTCAGCAAGGCCCTGCTTAACTGCCCCAATCAAAATTCCACCTGACACCCACTCCAATACTCCCTTTTTCCCTTCACTTAAAAAAAAAAATTTTTTTTTTAATGCTTTATTTCTGAGAGAGAGACAGACAGACAGACAGCATGAGCAGGGGAGGGTCAGAGAGAGAGGGAGACACAGAATCTGAAACAGGCTCCAGGTTCTGAGCTAGCTGTCAGCACAGAGCCCGACGCGGAGCTTGAACCCAAGAACCATGAGATCATGACCTGAGCTGAAGTCGGATGCTTAACCAACTGAGCCACCCAGGCGCCCCTCTCCCTTCACTTTTTATCCTCTCCATAATACTGATGACCATCTGACATACTATATACCTATTTTTTAATTGCCTAGCTCACATGTAAGCTCGATGAAAACAAGAAATTTTATTTTGTTCACTACTATGCCCTAGAGCCTAGAAAAACATGGTAGTGGCTCAATCATTACTAAATACATGAAATTCAGCTTCCTCACCTGATGAAGAGGTATATTATTTCCCTCCTTGCTCACTTCATTTTAGCAATCTTCCTAATAACTTTATCCATAATGGTGTTTTGAAGACCCATAAATTTATAACACCCACCCTATGTGCTTTATATCCTTATCTACATTTTATGATGATGTGGAATGCATAAAATTGAAGCCAAATAAAAAAAGAATGTGACACAAAGTTTGGCATACGTTTCATAAGGTATGTTGGGCAAAGATATTTTAAGTATTTCCTTAGTATCTAGCCAAGACAGCTTTATATCACCAAAGCAATGATATTGATTTTTGTACTATTAACTCTAGCAAATTAATCACTACACTTACAGGTGATAGTAGATAGGGGTGCCCGAGTGGCTTGGTCGGCTGAGCATCCAACTTTGGCTCAGGTCATGATCTCATAGTTCGTGGGTTTGAGCCCTGTTTACGGCTCTGTGCTGTATGGCTCAGAGCCTGAAGCCTGCTTTGGATTCTGTGTCTCCCTCTCTCTGCCCCTCCCCTGTTCTCACTCTGTCTCTCTCTCTCTAAAATAAATAAGAAAACATTAAAAAAAAAACTTTAAAAAAAGATGATATAGATAAAAAATGGGTTTACTTACTCTGAGAAAAAAAGTACAATTTGTCATCTTAGTAACAATTATCTACTAACAATCAACTATACCTTAGTCTGCTCCATTTGGTCTTTGGCCTTTGACCTTGTAATCCGTACAGAAGATGAAACAGCCTTAAAACAGTTAAAGAAAATAAAGTTAAAAAGTGAACTGGCAAAAGTTTAATTTCATGTCTCTTTATGAAATAAAGTTCCCGTTTTAAGGTTAAGTTTTAACTTTAATCATTTATGGCAAGAAGATACTTGCCAACTTGAATTCCTGTTGTTTCTGGCTTGACTTAAATTACATTTAAGTTAATAGCTGAAAGAAGAAATTTCAAGCCATATTTTCCAGGTATTTGAATCCTCATTAATACTATTAGCTGGACATATTTAGAAAGGGTAAATGAACAGACTGGTGTATTAGGATTTTTTGTTTGCTGTTTCATGAAAAGATACTATAAGGCTTACTCTAACAGCTTTAACAGTTTGACTTCAAGTCTCATGATTATGCATTTCTCCACTGTCATTAAGAAAATGGAGACCTAATCACAAAACGTGGGAAAAAATCTACCATGAGAAAGACTGATTAAAAAGTGATTAGATATTTGTCAACTCTGTAAAATTTCTTAAGAAACATAATCAGACTTCTCTCCTAGATGAGAAGTCATTTTCTTCTCCAAATCTCAGTGAAAATCTAGTGCTAAAGAAATTAGGCTTTTCTCTAGATTGCATGGAGAACAGAATTTAATAATGGCTATCTAACTAAAAAAAAACCCAAACTATTGGTGAGTCTTATTGTTTAGCACCATGATGGGTCTCCTCTTGCTCTGCCTACATATATATATATTTTATATTTTTATTTTAATTCTAGTATAGTTAACATACAGTGTTATATTAATTTCAGAGATATAACATAGTGATTCAATAATCTGATACACCACCCAGCGTTCATCACAAGTGACTCCTTAATCCCCATCACCTATTTCACCCATCCCCCTCCCCTCTGATAACCTTCAGTTTGTTCTCTATAGTTAAGACTCTGTTTCTTGGCTTAGTCTTTTTTTCCCTATATTTGTTTCCCCTACATATATTTTTAACATTTTTAATGGTTGTCTATAGCTTAGACCAACGATTGGTATCCTACATATCTCAAAAAGCCAGCTTAAATCTAACCCCTTCCAAGGTCTTTGACATTCCTCCAAACAGAAATAATCTCTCTCTCCTCTAAAATTCAGAATATATTTATCAGTATCTTTTCAACTTGAATTCTATTGTATTTACTCTGGTCTCTTCCACTTTATCCGAAGGTCATACAAGATAATAATCAAATAATCAAAGATCAGTTAAATAAATCAATGTGATGCATGAAGCGCAGAAAAATAGGCAATGTCTTAGTCCTTCATATTATTTAATTCTTATCTAAATCAGGAATGAGTATACGGTTTGAGATCTTTTATACATATCTTTAAAAGAGCACATCATCAGTGACACCTAATTTATAAACCCCACTGCTCCTTCTCAAACTTTATTCTTCATGACTCATTGACCGTTTTCTTTAGATCACCCTCCTTGAGCTTTTATCCCCTTTTCAGTGCTCCAGCTACTCAGACCAGTCCTTCTCAGCCTAGCATTGGAACCTGACTTCTGCCCACTTGTTTTTTCTATCTCAAAAACCTATAGCGACATCAAGAGACCGGACTTTCATCTTCTGAGTTACTGTTATGTCATTCCCACCTCCTATCAACTAAATGAATAAATAAAGAGAATAAAGGGAAATGGTTATTTTAGTTATTTAAGCTCTTAAAGAAAAATTCCAGTTAAAAGGAACTATTCCTCTATATCAAATTAGGATAGTAAATTTACCTTTTTTGGCTCTGTACTCTGGTTTGAGAAGAGAAAATAAGTCATACTAGGTCTATAAAGACCCACTTTAAATATTCCTCGTTTAGCTTTCTCTCTCTGCTCTTTCAATTTCTGAAGTTGCTTTTCTTCTTTGTATTTCTGGAGCATTTGCTTTCGTTGCTCACCTAGAGTAGTTTTTGTTGACCCTAGGCAAAAGAAACCCACAGTATATAAAACATTTCAAATAAAAAGTTATGCAAATGTCTAACTTCTAACTTCAACTTCTGTTAAGAAATGCTGTTAGTAACTTCCGTTCATTCCTTAGAACTCTAACCACAAGTTATTTCAACCTCTATTCTTTTTAAAATTTCTGTTTCTTCTGCCTTTGCTTTTAACTGCTTGCTATATATTGGGTGTTTATTACTTCACTTCTGAATTAAAGAACTCGTAGGATAGCCAACCTCCAAGCTAACCCCAAGGATTCTCCCCTCCTGATAACAATGTCTGTGTGTCATCACTTCCCACACTGCATAGGGCTGACTGGGATAACCAACAAAGCATACTGAAATGATGGAGTGTGGCTCCCAAGATGAGGTTGTTAAAGCCACTGCAGTTTGCCTTGCCCATCTTGGATCACTTGCTCTGGAGGAAGCCAGTGGCCTTGTGGAATCTTAAGGAGATTCAAGAAGCCCTATGGAGGTGTCCACATGACAAAGTTCCAAGGCCGCCTGTCAAGAGCCAGCATCGACTTGCCAGTCATATGGGTGAGTCTTCTGGGGAGTGGATCCTCCAGTCTCAGTCAAGCATGTAGATGCATCCTCAGATGACATCTTGACTGCAACCTCCAGAGTCACCCACTTAAGCTGCACCTAAATTCCTGACCCACAAAAATTGTGTGAAATACTAAATGTTTTGGGTTAACTCAGACCCCAATATTAGGGTTACCTGCCAGTTTCTTTAGTTCAACTTAGGTTTCCACCTACATACTCTAACTGTTTTGGGAAATAGAAGGGGCTATGTGCAAGACATTCTTAGGCAGAGAATTTCTGCCCTTGAGAACTCACAGTATCCTGGGGAAACAAACAGTTTCAGTCTGGTTTAGCATGAAATAAATAGGAGACTGCACCCAATAGAGAATCAGTTTAAATCTCCCCCCTGGGGAGATCAGGAAAGCCTCCTCAGAAAAGAGGATACCTGAAAAAAATTCTGAAGAATGAGCATGTATTTGTCTACTGGGTAAGGGTTAAAAATAATTCAGGTAGATAACTCTACAGCTTAGCAAATTTACTAAAATAGGAGTATGTATTTAAAATGAGTAGGTTTTTTATGCTATATAAATTACACCTCAATAATGTTGTTCAAAGTAATAATAATTAATCATAATAATGATAAGGCAGAGGACAGAATATGCAAAAGCACACATGATAAAATGGTTAATCAACAAAACCTCTACATCCTCAACTTCTTTTCTAAATGTTCCCTTCATCTCTCTTTTTTTTCTCCCCTTCATCTCTTGATCGAGCTGAAACCTGACTGTCTCCCTAAGACAGCTTCCCCAGTTTTCTCTCACACTGGTGAGATCACTGGACCTAAAGAGGGGAAGTGTCCTCACCACTGCTTCCCAGTGATTTCCTCCTCCTCCTCACCAAAAGATCCCACCTTTACATTTCATATCATCAGATCATATTATCCAGTACCCCAGTTGGGCATCTACAGGCCCTCCAGGCTTCCTCTCGTTCCTCAAAGGCTCTAGCTCCTAGCTCACTGTCATTGTCTCCATCACTATCCCTGCACAAATCTTGACGACCTCTCCAATAGCCTGGCTTCTCAGTTCTTTGGCTTTCTTTCCTCCAATGATCACCCAGTGGTCACATCCATGCCAGGATTTCAACCTTTCTCATGTCATGACACACATAACAGATAACATTTACACACCACACTGTAGCAAACAAAGAAACTGCTTATGACCAAACACAACCAGCCAAAGAAAGAGCTCTGACCAACCCAGGGCCTTTCAGAAACAACAGTATTTTGTCGCTCCTGTATTCATTCATGTGACAATTGGTACCCTACTTCCTATGCCATTGTCTTATTGAAAAAAGCTGGTCAGCTGTCCTACAGAATGTCCTGCACTGTGTATTTGTTTGCTTTCTCATGTATTTTATGCATTCCTCTAGCCTTCATGTTTTTTTATAAACTGGAAATTAGATATAAGGTGTTTTATTTTTTAAGTTTATTTATTGAGAGAAAGTGCAGGAGGGGCAGAGAGGGAGAGAGAGAATCCCAAGCAGGCTCCACATCATCAGTGCTGAGCCTGATGCAGGGCTTGAACCCATGAACCATAGAATCATGACCTGAGCTGAAATCACAAGAGTCAGATACTTAAAAGATTGAGCCACCCAGGCACTCCTCTGAGGTTTGATCAGATTCAAATTAAACTTTTGGGGCAAGAATATGTTCTGAATGGTGCTACCATTCTCTGAACCCACTCCAATCTGGCTTTCACTCATCAGAACCCCCCATCAGGATTAGTGACCTCCATGGCAGTAAAGTTCAAATTCTCATTTCTACTACTGTTTGACCTAACAAGCAGCACTGCCATAGTCTCTCCTCCTGGTATGCTCCTTTCACTTGGTTTCCAGAACACTACGCCCTACTTATTGTTCTCTTGCTTTACTTTGCATTGTTCTCCAGTTCTGTGCTAGTTTCCCCCTGTGTCCTCACCCTCTAAATGTTGGAGTGCTGATCCCTCTTCTCTCCTTTTCCATACCCAAACTCTGGATAATCACATCCAGTCTAATGCCTCCCAACGTGGAATATCAGTTGACAATTTCTGAATTTATACCTCAGTTCAGACTTCTCTCCTGAACTCATCTTATATACAACTACATTTTCGTCATCTCCACTTACATGTCTAATAAGCTTCTCAAATTGAACACGTACCAAACTGAACTCTTAACCTTATCATGCTCCCTCCCCCAAACTGTTCCTCCCTCGATCTTTTACAGTTTAGTAAATGGCCACTCCATATTTCAGGTGCTCAAGCCAAAAACCTAGGAATCATCCTGACTCTTCTTTATCAACCCCACATCCAATCCGTTAGGAAATTCTATTGGTTCAACTTTCTAAGTCTATTCAGAATGCAACCACCATTGGTATAATGCTACTACTTTGATCAGGCAACACCTATCAACTAAATTATTGCAATGGTCTCCTACTTGGTTTTCCTGAGGCCATACTTTCCAGCCTACAATCTATTATTGACACAGCAGCCGAAGTGATGCTTTTGAAACATAAATCATATTTACATAAACACTCATTAATCCATTAATGGCTTCTCATTTTACCCAGAGTAAAAGCCAAAGTCCTATGGTGTCCCCTGAGGGCTCCACAGGGATGGGAGCTACCCCTTACTCCTTCTCTAGCCATGCTTGCTGACTTGCTTTCGCTGGAACACACTCACTCACTCACTCCCACCTCTAGGCCTTTGCAAATGGAAAAGAAACCAAAGACATTTTAATGGCATACTGACAGGGTCAGACTTTGATTTGAGATTTGGGTCAAGGAATGGAGCATGTGAGAAGGCAAGAGTAGAGGCAAGGAGATGACTTAATAACAGCACTGCTTCTCAGACCAAACAATGTCTAGTTCCTCCTTAAAAAGCCATCCTTTATCATTCTATGACCTGGTTCTCATTTCCTCCCAACTCTTAAGAGTTGTTCTTTACTTTCTCCCCTTCAACTACTAGCCCATTTCCTCGATCAGCTCTTCTCAAAAACAAAAACAAAACCCTATAACACTTTTGTCCAACTCTTTTCTCTTACTTTCCTTTGGAATCATAAAGATGATAAATCCAGAAAAAAAATTTTAGGCCGACCTTCTCTTTTACAGAATCAATTAAGCCCAAATATGTAGAGTAGAAGTGCCACATATTACACTGCTCCTGGAAAATTTAAAACTGAAGCAGTGAACAGTTAAACAACTTAGCATCCCATTTCCTTCTCTATAAAATTTCTCAAAAGACTTTATCTCTTCCTGGCATTTCTTCAGCATTTATCCCTGCTTTATTTCACTGCCATCCAGCTTCTGGGGCCTACTCTATAAATGCAATTGAACAGGAGTCCAGTGACTCCTTGCCTCCTAACACACTCTATTTTTATTATTTTTGTCTTTTACTGAGATTTTTCTTTTCTTCTTTGTTTCTTTTTTCCTTCCTAGTGACCCCAAAACCTTTTAGCAAACTGCAAGGGCAAATTCTTTGCTCTTTTGAGAAATTTTCCCATTGGTAAAGTATGCTTCTTTCATGGATTCTTTAATCACTTCTTTTTTTAAGTTTACTTATTTTGAGAGAGAGAGAGAATGTGTGTGCATGTGAGTAGGGGAGGGGCAGAGAGAGACGGAGAGAGAATCCCAAGCAGGCTCTGCGGGGTTTAAACTCACAAACCGTGAGATCATGACCTGAGCCAAAATCAAGGGTCCGACATAACTGACTGAACCACCCAGGTACCTAAGTTCTATTTTTAATGTCCCTTATCAATTTATCTTGTCAACAGTTATCTTGCCAAGTTCCAAAAGTAAGAACTTAAAAAAAAAAATGTAAGAACTTTAGGTTTCTTCTAAGGCAATAAAGATAATACAGTGTTATAATACTCCATAGGTGAATGAATGGTTATAGCCCAGCCAGGGGCCTTCACAGCCTATACCTTAAACAGACAGTATTTAGTTGTAAAAAATACAAAATTACCTAGAATGGTGTTCCAAAACTCCATTCCTCTGCTCAGCATTTTTTTTAACGTCAGGGATATAAACGAAATTTTATTCACTCTTCAAAGCACTTAAATTTACAATAGATCTTTACTTACTTGGCTTGACATTGGCCTTTTCTGGAACAAGCTTTTGACATGTCTCATCTAATTCAAGAAGAACTCTACTTTCCAAGGTTGGAATGTTGACATCTTTCAAACCAAAGTGTCTATTTCGTTCATATTCCTTATGTCTGTTTTCTTTTTGAGACAGTGATTTCCTGTGAGCAATTTTAGTTCTAATCATGTCAATACTTAAATCCTTTCTGTGTCGACTGGCAAAAAGTGATGAAGACATCCTATCAGAGAAAAGAGAGAAAAACTTCCATGGATTTTCATTTTCATTTTTGTATTTAAAAAATTAAGATTTCAGTTCACCTCCTGTCCTGCCTCAGAGCCTTTGAAAATAAGATACAAAATGGAATAAGTATGTGACATTGAAGAGAAGGAAGGAGGTTGTTGAAAGATAAAACACACCAACCTATTTTGGAGTTCTAAATAGGAACTTGCTTGACAGATGAAGTGAGGCCCAGGAAGCTACAGTACCGTATATAAACCAGAGGCATTAAGAAGTTAAAACAGTTATAAGCACACTACACTCTTCGACAAGATTAACTAAGAGAGTGTGCTAGAAAACTCCAGATAAAGGGAAAATCTGCACAAGAAATGCACCAATTAAAATGTTAAAGGATTTAAAGCAATCATCAGAGTGTAAAAATGAGAATGCATCTGACCTAGGTGCCAATAAGATTCCTCTTTAAGAGCCCAGGGGAAGTGTAAAGAACCGTGCTTTTCTTTCTTCTTTTCTAAGTAAACCCTGCATCCACCGTGAGGCTTGAACTCCTGATCCCGAGATCAAGAGTTGCACGCTCTACCAACTGAGCCAGCCAGGCAACCCAGGATTACGTTTTTCATCATGAATCCTCCTTGGAGTGCCTAGCTGGCTCAGTCGGTGGAGCCCGCAGCTCTTAATCTCGGGGTTGTGAGTTCAAACCCCACATCGGGTGTAGAGATTACTTAAAAACAAAATTAAAAAAAAACAAACCAACCCTCCTCTACTACTTGATTTGCCACCCCCTGCCAAGTATTAGTTATTTTAAAATACACAGCAGAAAGGGGAAAGTGGGAGAAAGAACACTAAAGGCATATTTAATAATCACCTAAACCCTAAAAGGTAGTTCGTATTACCGCCGATATACAGATGAGGTAAATTAACTGCCCGCGTTAGCACAGCTATAGAGTGGTGGAGCTGGCATCCCAGGTCAGGCAGCCTGGATTTTCACATACACCTAAACGCTGTTCTTTGACTTACTGGAGTTTCTTTCAGCTTAAAAGTCTAGAAATGCCTTGGTCTTGCTTGCCTACAGGTTCTCAACCGGAGTTTTTTCGGTTGTCACGGGATCTGAGAAGCGCTACTGGAATTTAAAGTCGGGGCCAACAATGCTTAGCAACAGCTACTAAGTACTGTCCCGCCCCAGAGGCTAATTACGCCCTGGTGGTGAAACGCTGACTACCACACAGGTCAAGGCAACAAATACTCTCTCGGAGGGCTGCGTCATCAGCTACGGGAAGGATGTGTAATACGGTGCTAGAGGAGACTCCCCTGAGCTGTGTCCAGTCCACAGCCGCGGTCCCCCCACCCTTCCAGACCTTCTACAATGAAGCAGGACAGCGCCCTCCCTCCAGCTCCTCAGCACCCACCTACCTGAGGCAGCTTCTGGCGTAAAACTCAATCGAACTAAAAGCAGAGGAACCCTCCGGGTCTGAAAGACCACTGCCGCCTCCGAAGCAGGAAAGCCTGCCACCCAGACCTCCGCAAAATTCAAAAATCCCGCAAGAAGCTTCTGATTGGAAGGGTTTTAACAAACACTTCCGGGGGAAGTGCCCGCCCCTTCCCCTCGATGAGGCTTGCGATTGGCTCGCTTCTTGCGCTATTTGAATTGATTGAAAGGTGAACCGACGGTTCAAAGTGTGGGTGTGAGGGGAATCAATGGGCGGGTCTGCAATTGATGAGGAGCGTAATCCCGGACCTGGGACTAGGACCGGAGGCGCGAGTAACTAGCGGAGGTGATTACCCTGCGCCTGACAGGTCCGCACTGGTCCCAGGGTCCCCGGGTATCCGAAGAAGGACAGTGGCACTCGGAGAAGGGACTTAGAGTTTGCAGGACTTTTTAATGCCCCTATTTAGTTACAAAAATCTAACAGAGTTTATTGGAATGTTTTCCTCAACGTTTCAAAGTAAAGATTTAACCACAACAAATTCTTGCTTACATTGTGTAGTGCCTTTTAAACGCTGCCAGTCTTTCTTATACCCCTCGCCTTTTAGTGTTTTTTATACCCCCTCGCCCATTTTTTTTGAAGTAAAATTTGAATACAGTGGAAAACGTAGTTTTTTTAAAGTGCAGATTTGATGAATTCTGCTAAATATAAACAGCTGTGTAAATACCACCCAAGCGTTCCTTCAGGCCTGGTTCAGAGATCTCCCACCTTTTAGACAACCTCTCCTCTGATTTCTAACATCATAAAAACAAAGGTGATAGGTACTTTGAGGTCTGCCTTCTTCCTCTCATGTTTTCAAGATCCATCTCGACTGTTGTGTGAATCAGCATTTGGTTGTTTTTATTGCCAAAAAGTATACATTGTCTACAATCAAGTCTTGAACAACATGGGTTTGAACTGCGTGGGTCCACTTATATATAGATTTTTAAATTTATAAATATGGTACAGTACTGTAAAGGTATCTGATTTTTAATAACATTTTATTTTCTCTAGCTTACTTTCTTGTAAGAATACAGTTTATAATACCTATACAAAAGATGTTAGGAGTGCCTGGGTGGCTCAGTCAGTTGAGCCTCGGACTCCTGATTTCAGCTTAGGTCATGATCCCAGGGTCATGTGATTGATCCTTGTGTGGGCCTCTGCCTGCTGAGCCTGAAGCTTACTTAAGATTCTCTCTCCCTCTGCCCCCTCCCCTGATTACGTACTCTATCTCTAAAATATATATATATATATATATATATAGGAGATATATATATAGGAACCATCTGTATTTCAAGGATTAACTGTACTTTATCCAATCAATGGCTGATGGACATTTGGATTTTTCTAATTTTTATTTATTATGAATAAAGTTGCTATAAACATTAATAAATGTTATATATATATAACAAATTGCTATAAAAATTAACAAGCAATTTTCCAAGGTGGTTGGATAATTTTGCACTCTCATTAGTGATGTATAAAAGTCTCAGTTACTCCACATACTGGCTAACATTTGGAGTTATCACTGTTTAATTTTAACCCCTCTAGTGGGTGTGAAATGATATTTAGTCTTAATTTTGTAGCTCCCCAATGTCTAATGATGATGAGCATCTTTCCATATCCCTATTGACTATTTTTAGATTGTGAAATGTCTATTCAAGCCTTTTGCCTATATTTTTTAAATTGGGGGTTATCTTTTAAAATTTGCTTGTCTTTTAAGTATTCATCTGTTAGACTTCTATCTCGTCTGGATTCAAGTCCTTTGTTATATATATGTATTTTGAATATATTCTTCTAGGGTGTTAGTTGACTTTTTTAAAATAATAAATTTTTAGAATGATTTTAGATTAACAGAAAAATTACAAAAATAGTAGAGTGAGTTTCCATATACCCCCACATCCATTTCTCCTTGTTACATTAGTATGGTACATTTGTTACAATTAATGCAGTGATACTGATACATAATATTATTAACTGAAGTCCATAGTTTATTACTTGGTTTTTACCCATTGATTATTGTCTGCTCAAGGATACCACATTGCATTTAGTCATCAAAGTTGCATTATACTCCTTAGACTATAACAGTTTCTCAGACTTTTCCTTGTTTTTGGTAATCTTGACAATTGTGAGGAGGAGCAGATATTTTGTAGAATGTCCCTCAACTGGAATTTGTCTTGATATTTTTCCCATAATTGGACTGGGGTTATGGGTTCTTGGGAGGAAGACCATAGGGGTGAAGTGTCATTCTCATTGGAACACATCAAGAGTACATAATATCAACATGATTTATCGATGCTAATGTTAAGCTTAATCACTTGACTGAGGTAATATTTGTCAGGACTCTCCACTATAAAATTACTTTTTCCCTCTTTTCCAGATTGTTCTCTCTGGAAGGAAGTAACTATGGGAAGCCCACAATTAAGAAGGAGTGGGAATTATGTTTCATCTTATTTGGAATGGTTTACGTGGGAGATGTGTCTCTTCTCCATTATTTATTTATTCAATCATTTATATCAGGATTTATGGGTATTTATTTTATACTTTGGATCATACATCAATACTACTTTATTTTATTTGGTTCCTCAAATTGTTCTAACTTTGGCCATGGGTAGCCCTTTTAGCTTGTTCCTCTGTCAGTTTCACAATCTTCATGATTAAGGGATTTTTGTTGTTGTTATGTGTTTATTTTTGTCTATTTATTTTAGTACTTCCTTACTTCCTGGCTCTATAAGATGCTCTGGACATATATTGTATTTTCTCTGACCCACTACTAGGACCGGTCATTTCTCTAAAGAACCCTGGTTCCTCTTATTGGAGAATGGTACCAGAAACCAAGATCTGGGTATTAGGTATGCTCCTTGCTACAGGAGCATCTCTCAGCTGACAGAGTGAAGAACTATATCTGTATCTATACTTAGGTATGTATATACATGTCTATAAATATTTCTATATGTAACCATATGTATCTATATTAAATTAGTCATGGGTTCATGCTGATGTCTCCAACTGTAATCCATTACCACATGGATCATTCTAGCTTCCTCCCGTTGCTTATCTGTAACCCCCCAATCCAAGAACAGAAAACTTGACTCTGTGGTTGCCTTTTCATTTTATTCATAGTGTCATTGGTGAGTAGAATGTTTTAAATTTGATGAGGTCTAATTTATGATTTTTTTCTTGTATTTTTAGTGCTTTGTTTCTTTAAGAAATACTGCCTACCACAAGGTCATGAAGTTATTCTCCTGTGTTTTTTTTTTTCTAGAAATGTGGTAGTTTTAGCTCTTATGTTTAAGTCTGTGATCTATCTTGAATTAATTTTTGTGTGATCTCTCCAGTATTTTCTCAGTTTTCTCACTGGTCCAGCATCACATATAAATGAAACCTGTAAGTATGGCTGTTAGTGAGAAGAGTTCCTCTGCAAACCCTCAAGTAATTTTCTGAGTCAACTAAAACTATAGTACTTTGGTGCATTAAGAAATATAAAACAAAACATAACATATAGGAAGGACACAACATTGCATGTTCAATCTGTTTAGCAACAAGGCTGAAACTGGCAACCTTCTTGAGAATAATTTCAGCTGAACAATGGTGGCAGAAACCATACTAGGATGAATTGAAGCTTCACTGGGAATTACTGAGACACAGGCAGAGAGTATAAATGACAAGTCAGTTTTTAGTGATGAAAGGACTTTGACGATTAATGACTTGTGTTAGATCCCACAGCTAATTCAGTAGCAGAGTCAGAAAATATGGCTTGTTTCAATGTTGATTTGAGAATGGGAAAGCACATAGGCTTTGGAGTCAAATAGATGAGGTTTAAAATTGCAACTTCACATTGGGCTAGTTCTCTGACTCTCCATTTCCTCATCAACCTCTTAGGAATGTTGGGAAGATTAAATAAAATAATTAGTTCCAGTTCTGCTTCCTACCAAGATGCTGACAAAGTAAAATCACTGGCTCTCTCCTCCAAGATCAACCTCAAAGGAGCTACAGAGGAGGAAAAAATGCCAAGGTACCTAGTAAACACCCATATACAAGGAAATAGAAATTTGGGGGGCAATGTGATTCTTCGGAACTGGTGTTTCTGAGAAGATGGATATGGCTTGGGGCAGGAGGCAGTGGAGGATAAAATAGGAAATTATTAGAGTTTGGCTTTCACTTCTGCTCTGCCTGCTCTTGGGACAAAATGTGTCTGCTCTTTTATAGCAGCAAATAAGATCTCCTGGTAGAGAAAAAGAAAAATAGCTATTTGAAAGTAAGCAAAAACATTAGAAATACGTGTTGCTTTTTAAAAACTGCTAAGGACAAAAGAAGGGGAATATACATTCACAATAACATAGAATAAAAGCCTCTAGATAATATCAAGATATGGAAGGTGAGAGTAAAGAAAAACCAGGGCTAAGAGCCTGTACTAAAATTCTCATCTAATAAGGGGCTTTTACAAATGGTACTTTTTTAAAAGTAGGAAACAGAGGAATGTCTGGGTGGCTCAGTGGGTTAAGGGTCTGATTTTTGACTCAGGTCATGATCTTGTGGTTTGTAAGTTTGAGCCCTATGTCTGGCTCTGTCCTGACAGCTTGGAGCCTGGAGCCTGCTTTGGATTCTGTGTCTCCCTCTCTGCCTCTCCCCCACTCAGTCTCTCTCTCAAAAATAAATAAACTTAAAATTTTTTAAATAAAATCATAGTTCTTTTATATTTTATAATAAACATTTTAAAAAATTTTTAATGTTTTTTAATTTATTTCTGAGAGAGAGAGACAGTGTGAGTAGGGGAGGGTCAGAGAGAGGGAGACACAGAATCTGAAACAGGCTCCAGGCTCTGAGCTAGCTGTCAGCACAGAGCCCAACGTGGGGGTTGGGGCTCAAACCCACTAATTGTGAGATCATGACCTGAGCTGAAGTAGGACGCTTAACTGACTAAGCCACCCAGGCAACCCCCCTCCCCCGCCTTTTTAAAATCAGTACAGTCTCAATTGGATACTGGTGAACTGTCCTCTATAAAAATCTCAAAACCATTCTTCCAAGAAGAGGATTTTGCTGCTCCATGGATTAATAGCTTTATCAATGAGGCCTTAAAAATATTTACAGCCACCTGGGTGGCTCAGTCAGTTGAGCGACCGACTCTTGGTTTCAGTTCAGGTCATGATCCCATGGTTCATGGATTCGAGCACCACAATAAGACTCTGCACTTCCAGTGGAGGATTCTTTCTCTCTCTCAAAATAAATAAAGTTAAAAAAATAAAATCTTTAAAATAGTTTACATTTAAAAAAAGAATCAGGTGGGAAAATACTGATTTGAAAATATCAAAGTAATGAAAAGTTTTTAAAAAGCAGAATCCAAAACTATATAGTTTTAACC